AGTATATCAATGAGAAAAGAATTTAGTTATAAATTGTTGGCACTTCATCGTTTAGATGAAACGTTTGTTGATCATTAAGAGAAGTTATAATGGAAATTATTTCAACTGTTTAAACAGTGTCATTAGTCGCAAAAAGCGCGTTAAAACAGTTAAAATTACAATGATTCCACGCGTTTAAACATGTAAAACATGTTAAAAGTTATTTTTCCATAAACAGTTTTAACGTGTTTTTGGCGACATATGACACTGTTTAAATAGTTTACATGTTGGAATGTTTAAACACCGTTTTATTCGTTTCTCTGTCTGCCTGGGATTATTTTGAATAATTTCATGATTGATGGATTATTTCTAAAAGCACATAATTGTGTACGATTAACTTTTCTATCTTTGTCTGTGTTTAATGTTGTTGATGAATCTTTACTTGATGTCATTGAATTTGTATTATCAATATTATTTGAATCTTTTCCATTCTCTTTAAAAAGAAAAAAAAAACAAATGAATTTGTTCAGACGAGACATGATCAAATATATTCTTCAAATCTAAAACTTTGGAACTCCTTTCTTCTGTAAAAACTGAAATATCAACTATAGGAAATTATCTTCTGCCCAAACAAATGATGATTGTGAATATTTTTGCAATAATTCGAGAACGGAAAGAGGTGAAAGCCTATCAAAGTATATCGAAATATTCAATGAAAATTGACGAAAAAAAAACTTTTTTAGTGTTCCTTATAAATAAAATAGTTCAATTTTCGAATTACTTGAATCATTTGTGCTACTTTCAAAACATATTTTTATTTGTTGAGATGATCCAGGAATAGGTGGAAAATTTATTTTTGATGTTTGTGGAATTGATGGAATTGTATCTTCAACAACACAAGCAAATATAGATAAAATTCTATGAATAATAAAAAATACATTTTCATAAATGTCCTTTAAAAAAAAACAAATGGTTTTACTTGATTAAAAAATGAAAAATTTTTTCTGCTGATTGAATATCATTGATATCATTTGCATTATTTGATAAATCTTCAAATAAGAAGAAAAAATTCAAAAAAACATAATAAATATCTTTTTTTCTCTTTACTTGAAAAGATTAAATTAATAATATCGAGTAATAGTTGTAAATTATTAAAATCATGTAATATAAATGGATTTTTAATAAAATGTATAAGTAAACGAAGTTCATCATATTGATTATGAAAAAATGGTCGAATTGTTGTTGGTCTTAACACACTTAAAAGAACATAAATACCTTCTAAACATCCAACCAGAAAAATAAAAAACAATAATTAGCCTATATAAAAGACAAAAATAACAAACAATTTCTATTCGAGTTGATGCTTGAGCTAAACGATCAAATATTAATGTTGATAAGCATGATATTGTTTCACATTGTACTTCATCATTGGATATTATGACAGGAATATTTGATTGTTGTAATGAACGATGAATTTTATATATCCATTGACAAGAAGAATTAATCTATTTAAGTAAATAATGTATCAACCATTGACTTGGTAAAAATGAACTCTAATCAACAAACCTTAAAATCGACTTATGCATTCAAACGTTACAAAAATAAAGTTCTCGTTAGAATTAATTCATTATGAAAGTGTGAGATTTTCTTGTATCTGTTATCTTCATAAAAAAAAATTGGAAAATTTTGTGGTGCAAAAAAAGTAAACATTATTTTTATGTTTATATCTCACGAAGAACGCATCGTTTTCTAGTGAAAGTTTCAGGTTGTAATTTCTTAGTTCAATTTACTGGACTGCCCGATGGAATCATTCGAAAAAAAACTACCTAGTTAACATTTCTAAAATATACATACTTAGCAAAAATCGAAGCAGCTGATTGACGAACACGTGTATCATCATCAGTAAGACAATGAAAAATAATATCAATACAACGATCAAGCCATGATCGATTCTAAATGAAAACGAAACAAAAAACCAAGATATTTTTTCTCTTCTATATAATTATTTCTATTGAAAAAATTTACTGTGGTTTTTAATTGTTGTTGTTGTTCAAGATAAGTTAATATTCGAAAATCAATATCATCTATAAGTTGAGCTAGAGCAACCTATTTTATATAAACACAAAAAAAAAATTATTATTATCATAAATTTCTTTTATCTACTTTCGCAAGAACATAGAAACTTGTATTATGTTGAATAGAATCTTCTAATAATTCAATTCATATGATTGTAAATGCATGACTATTAATTAATAAAACCGGTAATAATGTTCGTAAAGTATTTAATGAAACATGTATAACATGTGCATTAATATCATTAAGACACGATCGAAATGTAGAAACTAATTCAGCTAATATACTTAATTGAATATCTTTGAAAAAAGCAAATAAAATATTGATTATGAAAAAAGAGAAGGCTAATTTTCTAACCTAATCTTGAACTGTCTTGTGAATCAATTGATACAAGTGAACATGGATTAATAAAAGAATTATTAAATAAATTTAATAATGATGAGAATGTTAAAAGATGAAACATTATTTGAATTAATTTAGCAAGTAAATTTGCACGTGCACTACGTAAATGTGGATCACCATATTCACGTAAAGATAAAAGAGATGTAATAACTTAAGGCCCCCTCTCCCACCTTAATTTCTGTTTTTGCTTCTGATTATCCGATCTTGCTGAAATTTTCAGGGAAGGTGTATCTACTGTAGGGTAACTTACGAAAAAAATTTCAGTTCAAAATATTGAGTCTATCAAGATTTACCTCACGATTATGGGTCAAAATGGGAGTGTCCGCGTTTCCCAAATTTCTCAGTCATTTCAAATGCCAGAAGGTTCGGATTACTTTGAAAAGATATCAAAAACATAGCGCTACAACTTAACAGAGCCCGATTTTTTTTTCATTTCCAACTTTTTTTATTGAAGCTTATCTCGTACGATATGGAAAAAAATAGTATATACATTGTCAAAGATTTGAGTCTCATGAGATATTGAACATAAAATCTAAGATTCTGGCTCTGTTAAGTTCTAAAGCCGATCATTTGCATCATTTTAACACCAAGCGAAACTTTCTAGCGTTTAAAATGGCGGAGAAATTTGGGAAATACAAAAGTGTTACAACAAAAAACCTTATTTTGAGAAAAACGTAAAAGAAGTTTTAGAAATGAATTTCAAGACTTTTTCTACAATAACATATTGTGAAATAAACTTTTTAGTGATTTCCCATCGATCATTGATTAGAACGAATTGAGTGAACGTATGCAGAGGCGTATGGAAATTTTATTTCTTCCATATGGTTATGTTATGTCTAGTGGCGTAACCAGGATTTTTTGATATACTGGATCTGAGCTTTAGACTATGGGATCCAAATGAAATTGATAGCCAGTTGATATTTGTCTCAAATAATGACTTTCTATCAAATAATTTTCGCAATCGAAGTTTGCCAAAAAAATTAGCATTTTCCTGAGCCTCATCAGATAATTCTTTATAGTTTTAGTAGTATTCTATTCTTGAGCGTGCCACCATAAGCTACGTCAAATTTCATCGACAGATTTCAAGTTTCCTCTAAAAATACTCATCCGTTCAAGAGTTATGATGATGTGAACTTCAGGAGCATTTTTTTTCAAACGTGCCAAAACTTCAAACAGTTATAACTTCTGAACGGATGAATATTTTTAGATGAAATTTGAAATCTATCGATGAAATTTGACGTAGCTTATGATGGCATACTCAAGAATAGAATACTACTAAAACTATAAAAAATTATGTGATGGAGCTCAGGAAAATGCTAATTTTTTGGCAAACTTCGATTGCGAAAATTATTTGATAGAAAGCCATTATTTGACACAAATATCAACCGACTATAAATTTCATTTGGATCCCATAATCTAAAGCCGAGATCCAGTATATCGAAAAATCCTAGTTACTCCACTATTTCATGTCCACTGCTAAATCAATAAAAACTGCTTGGTATGATAGAAATCAGATCATATGAATTTATATGGATGATTTTATATCATGTAATAATAGTTGTTGAAAATTATCTAAAACCGATTAATGATACATAATATCGCTGCCTCTTCAGATTGTCTGAACGAATTCGTTTGATAATTGATTTTTTACTTTTCTTTTTGTAAGAATTATTTCTTTTACCCATTGAAACTTTTACTTTTTCGATAATAGTATATAAGTTATTGCATAACGAAAAATAGTTATCACCTACTGCTCAAAATACAATTAACAACTGATTTTAATCTACAAACATAGTAAAACAGTTTCAAATAAGAAGTTTTATTTACAATTTTGTTGTCTTTAACAATATTTACATTTTTACATTCATGAAAAAGCACTGAAATGTTCTTGGTACTTATTCTCCCAATAAAAATTGACTTACACATGAATGGTCGGTATCTTCTTTCTCTTCTATTATTTCTATATATTCGCCACTCGCACTATGTATCAAGCTATTATACTTAGCGATACATGTTAACCATAGAAATCACTGTACAAAAATCAACAGAGAAGCTGAAAAGACTTCGAAGATCAAAAACTCGTTAAAAAGATGTTTTTTTCTAGAATAGAGGGTTTCAGAAAAGCTGATGTAACATCCTGAAAACTCATCATAAAATACATAAACTACAGTGCGTTCGACAGCGGACACTTTGCTCTATCAAACACGCTATAAATAAAAAAATCGACAAATTTGACGAAAATTGACTTTTTAGGGTGGGTGGTTGGGGGGGGGGGCTTAAAGAAAAGAAAAAAAAAGACATCTTGATGTTCGATAGATTTTAATGTATTACAAATGACATAGAGATGGAAATTTTATTTTTTCTCATTAGAAAATTTCATATCAATCACAAAATTATATTTAATCAGAAATATTCAAAGACTAAAGAAAAATTCTTTAGAGGATACAATTAATTTCATATCATAATGAAAAAACGAACATCTCTTTTGTACTAAATATGTACTAAACTCGTACTTCGACTTAAAACGTTTTTTTTTTGAGATAATTGTGTGATTGTATGATTTCAATCTCTCATGTATAGATGTATAAATGTAGCCTATGGCTTCCAAAACTTTTGTATGTCTAACCTATTCAGTAAAATGTTCTACTTGATATCTTTTCCAGTCTGACAAAGATCTAGTCTTTCGTTTGTTTCGCATTAGAGTATGGTGATTTCAAAGAAATTGAAACTAGGAATAGGACTGAAACTGTTAAATCTGTCAAGAAATCTTCGTTTATGAATTTTCAAATTTCATTATATATGTTTCATATGGTTTTGTTTCAACAATTTGATAGTGAAATTTTCGTATCTGTTAGATAACTTTTACTAAAACTTTGAGACGTTAACCAATTGAAGCGACATCAACTGAACTGTGCTACAAACCCCTTCACCAGATTGATTCCACTCATCTTACCCCTTCTACGTGTTACAATCGTCGTTATGCTACTAGTTTACAGGCATCCTTCAAAGTCAGAAAAATACTTTCAACCAAAAGCATAGCTACCATTCATTTTTATACATTGTTTCAACATTGGAAATAATTTCTGATTATAAAATAAATTTATTATACTAAGTTGAAACTTTACAAAAAGAAACTCAAATAATAATTAAACATATTTTCAGTAGGATAACCAAATGAATCAAATTGTTGATAAATGTGATAGACATGTTAGTGTAGCACATTTAAGACTAATACGTCATTCATCATCATCGTTTTTTATCGTATCATTCATGTTGAATATATATTTAATCGAAAAAAAATAATAATTTATTTGTTTTTATATTGCATAGTTTGAAATAAGTCGTTCAATAAGTTTAGCAGCTGATGTTCGTTTTTCATTATTAATCATTAATGTTGAATCTAATTCATCATTCATTTTTATATACTAAAATATCTTGTTGTTCATTAATTTCAATAAATCAACATTGATATGTTGAATAAGCTATTGTTTGAGGGAAAAAAAGCATAAGNAATTTCATAAACCTTTTAAAACCCAATTTATTATTGTACTCTTCAGAAGCGTTTATGAAATTGACAAACTTTTAAAGGGTATATCAACAGTGATAAACCCTAATGGGTTTATAAAATTGCAACGTATGAAATATGCATTGAGGGTTTATCAGTCGAAAAAGTTTATGGAAGCGTTTATTACACAGAATAAACCCTTAAAGGGTATATGTGAGACTATTATACCCTTTTGACGGGTTCATTACTATACGAATATTTTTTTCAGTGTTGCAACTAACAAAACCACCAATAGCAATCCAAGCATTTTTAAAAGCTTCTTCTTCTTCCATTGTTCGAGGATTCGGACATAAACTTAAGCATTGGCAGTAAGCTGTTTGTTCATCAACTGTTTCAAAGTAAAGTGTACCATTAAAAGTAAATAATTGAACCAACCATTCAAGTGGTATAAAGAAAGGAATAGTATCTATTGAATATCCAATTAATGGAGGAATTGTTAATGCTGGTGTATTGATAAATTTTGATTGATCTCGTTTAATACGAGGTAATAATAAACGTAATGTAGTGTTTGATGGGCTTTCGAATTTTCCTTCATGATAAAGAGAATTTAAGCGTCCTATCAACCAATTAGCTTCTAAAGCAGTAAGTAAAATTAATTGTTGATTACGATAAACCAACAACCATCTTGGAGGACGTAGGAATGGATCTAATGATTCTCCTTTAGTCGCAATGACACGTTGAAATTCAGTGGAAATCCAAAAATTTGCTTGCCAATTCTCAGCTTGACAATCATTGATCAATGTTGTATCAAGAAAAGCATAAGGTAAACGACGAAATACATGAGAATATTGTATTAGATTCATCATAGTACCTTGCATATCACATAATTGTTTTATTTCCTCATGAAATACAGGTTTACATGGTTGAACAGGTGGTGGACGTTCTAATTGGCGTTCTTCTTCTAATTCCTGTTCTAATTCTCGTTGTTGTTCTTCATCAAATAATTGTGATAAACGTTATTTTTTTCCAGCATAATCTTCTAATCTTTTTAATACTTGATCTCTCATTTCTTGCCATATACCATAAGAAGTTTGTTCATATCGATTACGATAAATTTCAAGTAGTGTTTGCATTGTTTTCGAAGCTCCATACATATTTATGAGTTGAATTACTTCAGGTTCAGAACATTCATTTGCTAAATCTTTTATCAAATCATTAGTAAATTCTTGTTGATTATCATTCCAATTGATATGTCGAAATGCAGAAACTTTTCTTTGATAACTTAAACTTTGTGCCGCCCAATGATGTAAACCATCCCAAGTTGATTGTTGAGTATTTTCATAAACCCAACGAAGAATATCAATCAATTTAATGAAATCATTTCTATTATCTTTTTGGTATTGGTCAATTGATTTTAGTTTTAATGTTTTAATTTGTTGATGAACTTCATATGAACTCCAAAATTTTAAAGAATGACCATGACCTAATTTTCTCATTCTCATACATGCTTGAACAAAACAATCTTTTGTTAAACGATTTCCTAATGTAACAGCAGCTTTGAATTCTACAGGAAATTTAAAATCAGTTCCTTGTGTATGAATTTCATCTAAATAAAATATACAACGATGTAATCGTTCACATGCAGGACATGTAACAAATGAATATCTTTCTAAACGACGATCACAAGCAATAATTGAATCAGAATCAAAATACACGGCATAATCAATTTTATTTTTATCGGATAAATTCAATCATTTCACGGCAATATCTTTATTATTTCTATCAATAAATAATGCTCCGACATCTAATATAACATTGACAATCTCATTTTGATCTATAATTTGTTTTAAAATGTTTTCGGATTGTACATTCATTGGTAAACATTGATAATTTTCATTTTCATTTTTTAATAAATTATTAATAACAAGTGCATCTGTTTTTTTCAATTCAGGTAAATCATCTTGTTGGATGTGAACAGGAAGTAATATTTGTGTATCATTTGTACCACTAAATCCCGTGATGATTTTTGTTCGTAATGATGAAGATAAATCCCAAGGAGTAGCAACTAATTTAGATGGAAATTGTTTAGCTTCTCGAGGATATACAAAATAATTAAGAAAATAATAAATAACTAACATATTATATCGAAAAGTTGGAAAAATCTGATCAATTTGTTGTTGATAATCTTTTAGATTAACACCATTTCATTGACGAATAGTTTTTGGTATATATTTTTCATCTTCATATAAAGTCCATTGATCATAAATCGATACTGGATCATTTTCTTCTTCATTTAAACGTTTAAAACATTGTGATAATTGTGAATTATTTAAACCGGAATAATAATATGAAAGTTGTGTTAAAACTAAAGCTACATCAGGATGACCAAATTCAGTTCTATCAGCAACAACATCTTTTGCACGAAATGGTACAGCCATTAGACGATTAAAAGTTATATTTGAGTTAACACCATAATTAACACGATAGCGTTTTTTAAAAGCAATTAATAAAACTTCTGATGATAATAAACCACGAGCAATAAGAAATAATTGAGTATGAAGACATGGAAATCTATTGATGAGATATTCAATAGATGAATCTGATTCTAAAATAAATGATAATATAATTGATTTCTCTTCATAAAGATAATTTCTACTATCAACCCAATCATTTGCAACTTTTTGACAAAGTAATGCAAATGGTTCAGGTGATTGTAAACGAAATTGTGGAAAAGAACTTTTTCTTTTCGATGCTTTATAATAAACATTTTCATGAAAACGTTTAGAAATTTCAGCAGCATATTTTTTAACTAATTCAAGAATTGTTTGAATAGTTTTCCAACGTTCTGAACCTTCATCAACTTGTTGTTGACCACCAACTGTATAGATTTAGTTGATATTTAACATGTAAAATTTCATCTGATTCATCTAATATATCACGTGCATATTGTTTTAACCATCGTTGAATTCCTAACATAGATCGAGCAACATCAAATTCTTTTCGTCGACATTTATCAATTGTTAATAAATCAAATGAAAGAATATCTTCAGGTGAAGTCAATACAATATCACAATTACGTAATGCACGTTGAAAACGTTGCCAAATTCGATTTATTTGTTGGTTATTAAAATTCATATCACGACAACATGCAAATGGAAATATACGTTGATTGAGTAGACCACCTAATTTATATCGTAATGATTGATAATTTGTCGGAAATAAAGGTTTAAGAACAATAATACGAACTAAACTTGAATTTGATGAAGAACAATTAGCAGCTAACATTGGTAAAATAACTGACGTTTTTCCTTCGCCCATATTCATTTGCATAACTATATTTTGTAGGACTGAATCACTGGTGTTTATATTGGATTGTATCATGTGCTGTGCTACTTTTATTTGAATATCTCAAATAGTTATATTCATTTCTAATTCTAATATAAGCCAAGATATATGTTTAGATGGTATCCAATTTGAGTGTGCTGTATGAGATATTTCTTTCTTGAAGTCTTCCCATTTTCTGTTAGTTGCAAAATACAAAATTCTTTCAATTTGTTGTTCTAACATCCAATTGACAACGATACCACCGAGTAGTGTATATTGATCTTTCGTTAATAGAAAATCATGTACACTTTCATTTTGAAGTAAAGGTAAGATAGTTGTTGGTGTCATTCGAAAAATTAGACCAGTTTCAAGTAAATACTCATTAGATATTGCAATAGAATTTAACAATTCATTCCAAAAACTTGTAGATTGTTCATGTAAAGAATCGAGATGTTCCATGATTTTTTCAATTGAAGAATATCTTTGTTCATATTGATTTTCCGAAAGAAATTTATTCCAACTTTCTGATATTTGTTTTCTAAAAAAGTTCGTAATTTCACTTAGATTATTGTTTTCCTCGTTAAGATGAGAAAAAATTTCTTGTGGAAATTCATTTTGACGATAAAATCTCTGAACAAAATTCACTATTTGACTTAAATGATCTGAATTGATATGATGAAATTTTTCTTGGGCATATTCTAAAATTATCGAATCAATTGATTCTTTTGTAGGTTTGATTCGTATTTGATAGTGTTCTATAGCAAGTTCGCATGTAAATTTTTGAGAATGATATGTTGGTTGAACATGAAATTGTACTATTGAAACAGAACTAATGAGATTTTGAACAGTTTGCAAAAACGATCGAAGATTTTTATTAGCACGACGAGATTTCATCAATGAATTGATATAGTCTAATGTATCTTGATTTAGCACGTTGTCATAATCGTGAAATCTCACACCACGCTCAAAACAATCTTTAATTTCTGCGATAATACTACTGCATTGGCTTTTAGTAAGAGAATTTGGCACATAGGTTGATACATCATTGATGTCGATTTTATCGATATTATGATACGAAATAAAAGCAGGAAATTCAAGAGACCGCAGTGATATAGAAGATACTTTCAACGCCGTTTTTAACATTTGTAAATAAAACGGTTTGATTCCACATTTATTAGAAATAGAATGAAGAAAATTTAATAAACTCTCAAAACGTTTTATATTTTCCGTATGGTTCTCCCCTGTTTCTGTTTTAATAAACCAATCGAAATAACTTTTAAATTCTTTCCAAGACTCAACCAGTTACGTAAAGGAAGCCAACACTTTTCTGAACAATCTTGTAGATAAACATCTCCATGTCTATATAGATCATTGAGAAGATTGAGAGCTCTATAATTAGTCAAATGTGAACAATATTTCGAAGGTGAATTATATAAATTCTTTGAATCATTGAATAAAATACCAGCTTCCATATCAACAGTTAATCTTGCTATCGGATTATATGAATCACGATAGTTCCAATATAACTTTTTCAATAGGATTTCATTGTATAGTTTCCCTGCAAATAGTTCTGGCGTTTTATTTGTCTTCATTGATGGATACATAAAATTAAACAATCGACTATTTTCAATAAGTTCTTTTGCTATTAAATAATAACCAAAATGTTGCATTGAATAGAGTATACCATTTGAATTTCACTTTATTTTTTCTGCACAATTCAGCTTTTCTGAATAATAATTAGCTTTTGGTGAAATCAATGCGATTTGAGTTAGAATATTTAATGAAATTTCATCCAAAGGCTGATCCGAATAACAACCAGCTGAATTTAATAATTGAAAAGCTCGTTCCATTCCAGTCATACCTGTATATTCATCTGGTAATGGATGAGAAGTCATTGCATGGGGTGTGGGTGTGGGTGTGGGTGTGGGTGTGGGTGTGGGTGTGGGTGTGGGTGTGGGGGTGGGNGTCTAATAGCTCTTAGAATATTCTGAAAATTTCAGTCGAAAACAATACTCGTCTATCGAGATATTGAATCTTCAAGAGAAACTGATTTTTTGTACAAAGCGGTCATTTACGTTGGAAATTCAATATCTTCACATATAAACATTCTTTTCCACTGAAACATCGAGACTATTCAATGGGTCGTCAGACCTATCTACGAGTTGAATATCGGGTCGAAAATTTAGTAAAACAGTTATAAATCGACTCCACAGGTTCATGGTCGCGAATCCTCTTTTAGTTCTATTGAGTCCTCCATGTGCATTCAATATGAACTATAACGATAGGTATGAGTTCGATGGATTCCCTCGTTAGTAATCCTGCCATGCTTATGTCATGATTATTTGTTCAAAACTTATGTCATATAATTTTTTACAAATACTTTTACTAGTAGAAAAAAAAGAGATCATCGTTGGATAGCCATATAATCTAATCTGGTTCATATTAATTTCAAAATTAAATGCTTATATATTAATCAGAAAATTTCGATTTCGAAACACAATGGCAAGAAAAAAATTGATCGTTGAATTTAGAAACTCATCGATCTAAAGTTCAACATTTGATCTATTCATATGCAAACCTGAAACAATTAGACAAGATTTAAAAAAATACTATTATATAGTCGTGCGTTCGTCATTCAATATTGATCATTATAAACTCAGCAAACAAATTAAGCGTACAAGTAGAATTTTACTAATCAGATATAGTACATCACTCATGAAAACTAAACAAGAAATTCGTAATTGAATATGCGATCTTTTAAAGTAACTATTGATAAGAAATATAGACAACAAAATTTTATCCTAATCGTACTTTAGAACTGAAATAAGACAATGAATTTCGGCTGTGTTCTTTAGGTAGACTACAGAGTTAAATGTCAAATTACTCTAAAAATACATTATTTGTCCAACGATACGCTAAAAGTTCGAAAAATATTAATAATTCATTACAATCTCAATACTGCACATAGTCTCAATTCAAGAGGAATTAAGTTAATTATTTCGGAAGCTTCCCTCATTTTAATTTTTCTTGCTTCAACACTAGTAATATTTTAGAAAGCTCAAGATTCGCAGTTATACTGATATCTTTCTTAATATAATACTTCTTATATATTTGACTGAAACAATCATGCATTTTTCTATTTTACCTTCAATCATAAAGCAAATATAATTCATCTTTTTTCGATAAATAAGCATCTAAGAAGTTCATTGATTCTTTGCTAATAAAAAAAAACAGTCAAGTTTACCGATTTTCTCGAATAACATTCCGAATGGCCAGAGCAACTTTTAAACGTTGTTTAATATCAAGATAACTTGATGATTCATCAAACACGAATATATCTTCTTTTTGCATACACACCATGGCACATGTAAATATTTGTAATTCTCCACCTGATAAATCAGATATTTGTCGATCTTTAACATTTGATAAATCGAATGATTCATATATTTGATCTTGATTACTCAATTCATCTGTTTTATCTAACAAATCACATGCAAGATCCTAACAAAACAAAAACAATCTTTTAAAAAAAAGATTGATGTGTCAAATTCATTTTACTTGTACAGTTCATGGAATTTGATCAACATGCTGGCGTTTAAATATAGCTTTAAGATTTTCTTTAAGAATTTTTGTAAAATAACTTTGTAGTTTACTACCACGAAAATATTTTAACATATCTTGCCAATCCGGTAGTGTCTAAATCAAATAAAAATTTAATGTATAACATTAAAACTAAAACTATTTCTTTTCGTTTTTAATATCGAATATTTGCCCAAATTAGGCTTTAATTTTCCAGATAAAATCTGTGATGCTGTTGTTTTCCCTGTACCATTTGAGCGAACAAGACCTAAAACATGTCCTGGTCGTGGCGTTCGTAAGCGATATAATTTAAATGAATTTGGTCCATAACGGTGTGCTGTTTCTTTATCAAGATTAGTTGGTAAATTAATAATAGTTGTCACATCGAATGGACATTTTTCCACACATATACCACAACCAATACATAATTCTTCGGATATATGAGAATTGTTTGATACAGGTGTTACTTCAATACATAATTTTCCTGTTTTATTAACTGAACTATAATAATCATACACAAGACAAAAAGAGTTTAATTAAACATGAAAATAATATATAAAATTTAATTAACAAGCCATGATCGTTTACATTCTGGATTACCTTTTTTAGGTTTGTATCGATCGTTATTTACTATAGCAACGCGTGTTGAAGATTCTTGCTCACGATCTTGTCTATCAAGACGAGAACCATGTATTTAAAAAAAAACCTTTGTTTCTTCCAGAATGCGAGAGAAATCTACAAAATCATTCATAATATAGGCTTCAAAAAAATTTCACCATTAACAATAATTTCACAAGAACAGAAAATTTCAGAGTATTGAAAAATTTACGCAATTCATCGAGTGCGACATATTTACAATCAAAATGGCAGAAAACATCCATCTGTACTCATGTCCTGAAGGAAAATTTCCTAGATTCATAGTAGGTTGCTTATCTCTGCTCTAGGTATTCATCAGATGGTTTAGTTTAAATGGTGTGGATGTCACTCAATTTAAACCAAAAACTGGAGTTGGACTTGGATAGAAGCTATATTAATTCATTCATATCGCATACACACACACTTACATATATATATACATTCAAAACTCGCACATCAAAATACCAAAATTAATCAGAATCGTATGAAAATGGGATGATTGTTATTTAATCCCAATGGATATGTCTTCTCCTGACAAATATTGGTGCTCAAACTGCCACTTTTGCTGGAAAACTCAACAATTTAGTTCAAAAAAACATGATTCTGACTGATCGCTTGCTTTAGGTGATAAACTTTGGTAATATCATGTATGTTTGGTGCCTTCTTTTTATACTCACTCACTCCAGTCGGTAAGATGTATCAGTATTATCGCCATGTATTACAGTTTATGCACCACATAGACTAAGTATGAGAGAGATTACGTTATTTTGATGATTCCAACAACTCGAACAATCCGCAAGCAAAACTTTATGGATCTGATTCGTGTTCTATTAGATTTCAGACAAGAAAAATGTCAACCTACAAAAGAGAAAGATTAATTTCAACACAAGCCTTATTAGGACATATCACGACTAGCTATGATCCAGTTAATTGTACTCATTGAGCTGGTTCATCAGTATTAGACTTTTTCGGCGTCAACTTGATTGCATCAGCTTAATGAACTGAAAAAAACTAGTGATTATCGATGATTTTTTTCCGTTTCTGAATTGCATACTGGTACATGTTTACACGGTTGCTACTCACAATTCTAAGCATACGCCTCTTTTGCAGTAAATATGCATCAAACTCAGTTTTAACTGGGTACTCAGATACTGAAACTGAGCCATACCTGATCACAACTACCTACTTCAGAGAATTGTCTTGATTAAACAAAGTGACGTCACAGAATGAAAGCCATGCTTATATAAGCACATTTCGAATCAAAGCAGCAACTTTTAACTGTAGAAATAAACATCACCCGAAAATGGCTGAATGTATGTTTTCGTTGTCAATTATTGTTTAAAGTAGAGTTGTGTCTCACTCCTTTCGAATGTACAGTAAGACTGAATAATATTTGCCATGAAAAGCCACAAAAAAAATTAATCAAATTTTGTCCTCCTATCCAAATTTCAGCGAGGCATTCATATATGTTTAGTTAGCGACAAAACTGTTTGAGAGAGTTAAAGTATACAAAACTCTCGGGGAACAAGGCCATTCACTGATTTTCTTTCAAGCATAATTTACAATATGTGTTGAAACACATAGTGAGAAAAAGAGAAACCCATGCTGGTTATTCAGGCCGTGATAGACATTGTGCTACCTTATTTAGGCTATTAGATATTCGTATGTCGATTGCGATAATCACTGAATTGTAGACTTTAGTCCCTATTTTATTTTTGAATAGGTTCCAAATAGTAATGTCGATTGTTACCTTGATGCTATATCATCTCATGGAGCTCATTCACAGCGTGATAGATCTATTGAGATGTAGCTTTGCATATTTCGATTTCAGTTTGCTTTTCTTAAAGGATCATGAGTTTATACAGCGAATTTTTCTCTACTTACCAATACTTAAATCAAACTGATTCCACTTTATAGTGGTAAACCTTTATTCACATTTAAAAATCAATATATACTTATTATTAGCTCTGAATGATTTACATGTCATGAAGTGAATCGTACAGAAATCATCCCATCCCATTTTCAAGAGCTTCATTAGCCGATTAATTATATTGTGCTCAACACACTGTTTTCGAGGTTATTGCTTTCTTTAGGGCATGGGGGTGTGGTTGCGGCTGTTTGTTTGTTGCTCAAACCCATAGCTTTTGATGCTCTGGATCCACACGGTTAGGAACCATGTTTAGTGCAATGCCAGTAGTTTTCTTGGGTATGTTAAGTACCAGATTTCTTCAAAACACCATCTTTTATCTATGATCCATAAGAAATAAAAAGTCGATAAAAATTACCTTTACATTTCTCGGGAAAAAAATCAAAACTAATCCGTTTGTCGCAGTCCTTTTGGCGCAAAAGAAGCTAACTTTCCTTGATCGACTACAGATTGATAGTCAGTTGTTACGTACTTTTCCAAATCCAGCTTCTAAATATAATGATGAGAGTGTGATAGAGTGATGTGAACGTGAGTGTGGGTATGAGTGGGTGCAGCTATGGGTGAAGAAAAGACTAGACATAGCACAGACACCCACACCCTCATCAATGATGTTTATCCAGCTGCATCACATCTTCAGAATGTAATTACGTCATATACAACACACGCTTATATAGGAGAGAGGAAGAGAGAGAGAGATGTGTACAGGAAAGAACAATAGAGACAAGATAAAGAAGAAAGAGAAAAGGAAGATTAGTGGAAAGTAATATCAATATCGGCACATTCGGATAGCCTCTTGCAACCGTCTGTCACGGTCTGTAATGAGTCATTAATGATTTAGTAAGGAAATATTAAATACAGACTTGTTAATTATTTTAACACTTAACTAATTAGTTAATTTCTTTGCCATGATCTGTAGGGAATCGGAGGTGAGTGAAAATTTCTACCCTATACATTTCAACACTGCTTTTTTGATCGTGTTTCACAAAAAAGGCTCACAGATTTCCTAGTACGCATTTGTACATGCCAGATGAAAATGATAAATATTACAAAGTAATATTTAGTTTGTGAGGTTTAATGAATATAATCAATGATCTGTGTAACGACTATTAGCTTTGCTTACAGCATGAAGACGAGGCGGATACGAATATTAAAGATTTTCAAATAAGTTAATTTTTGTTTTCATTACTGTTAAAACATCTGAATGGGTTTTTTCAGTGTTTCTTCGTAATAACGATTATTCTCTGTCTCTGATAGTTGTTTTTCTCAACTTCAGTTTGACTATTATTTCAACATGTTCACCTAAATCGAGATTATGTAAGTGTCCAGGCAAAATGTCGATTACTTCGTGATATTCATCATTTTAAATCAGATCTACTTCGAACTGCCTCATAAAAGCTACTTTTCTATACTAATACGGTATAAAATTCTAGAAATTTTCTGAATTCGACATTGAAAAGCTGTTAGACATCTTTCTATTTAGTACTGATAAATCTCATTTTCGACGCCCTTTAGTTCAGTATATAATTTATTATTGATGCTATTTGAAATCATGATGTTACCCCTGGAAAAATATTTTTACACACCTACTCTAAATGTCGTTCAAAAACCTCAAATTTATATTTTTTTCTAATGAAGCGGATCTCTTCTTATTATCGTTACTGTTTATTTGAAATAAAAAAAAAAACAGCTGTGTTGATGGTTTAAGGTTTCTATTTAATTTCTATGCTATTCAAGTATGTTTTACATGAGTTTGTGCGAGTTGAGAATAATACTACCCACATGTGACGGTATCGAAGTATCTGAATTATTTCGATTTTTTATCAGTTGTGTGACAAATGCTAATGGATTTAAATTGAATCGAGCTTGGTGAATTTGTAAATGACAACGATGCTCTGGTTTTCCTACGAATCCACCAATAGTAATCCGATTTTCTTCAAATGCTTTTTCTTGTGTATCTGTTCGAGGTTTAGAACATAGACTTAAACAATGGCAATAAGCTGTTTGTTCGGCAACTGTTTCAAAATAAAGAGTGCCATTAAAGACATGCAACTGAACCAACTGTTCTATTGGTATGAAATAAAAGGCGGCGTCATCAGAAGGTGCAATTAATGGAGGAATTGTTAGAGTATAAGTATTAGCAAAAATTGATTGAATTCTTTTAGTACGAGGTAATAATAACCTATGTTGGTGTCGATAAACAACTATCCAACGTGGTGGTCGCATGAAGGAATTTAATGATTCTCCTTTAGCCAGAATTACTCTTTGAAATTCAGTAGACACTCAAAGATTTCGTTGCCAACTGTGGGATTGACCATCGCTTGAGAAGGTAGTGTCAATGAAGGCATATGCTAAATGACGAAATACATTAGGAAATTGTGCCAAATCGAGCATAACACCATATGTGTCACATAATTTCTTAATTTCCTCATGTAGTCTAGGTTCACATGGAATGACAGATGAAGAACGTCTCAATTGTTGTTCTTCTTCTAATTCTTGTTCTAATACTCGTTGTTGTTCTTCATCTAAAAATTGTGATAGACATTGTTTCAATCAACCATAATCTTGCAATCGTTTTAATACAGCATCATGAATTTCTCTCGATAAATGATGATCACACTGTTTGTATCGAGCACAGTAAATTTTTTCTATTGTTTGCAATACTTTAGGTATACCATCCATATGTGTTAACTCAGTTGTTTCCGGTTCCAAACATTCTCTAGCTAATTCTTTCATCATTATATCTGTAAACCATTGTTGATCATTCTTCCAAATAATAGTCAAAGATGCGCTCATTTTTTGTTGAAAACTTAAACTTTGTGCGGACCAATGATGTAATCCTTCCCAAGTCGATTGCATAGTGTTATTGTATACCCAACGAAGAATATCGATCAAGTTGATGAGATGATTAACATTTTCTTCTTGATTTTGATGGAATGAATCTTTCTTCAATGTTATACTCTGTTGATGAACTTCATTTGAACTCCAAAATATTAATGAATGTCCATTCCCTAATTTTCTCATTCTCATTGCTACTTGAACAAAACGATCCTTTGTCAAACTATTTTCTAACGTTACTACAGCTTTAAATTCATTTGGAAATTTAAAATCGATTCCTCTCATATGAATTTCATCTAAATAAAATATACAATGATCTAATCGTTGATGATGAAATTGACGATCACAAGCAACAATTGAATCGAATTCAAGATAAACAGCATAAGCAATCTTGTTTTTATCAGACAAATTCAACCATTTAACAGTAATAGCTCAATTGGTTCCATCGGTAACTAATGTCCCAACATCTAAGATGACGTTGATCATTTCTCTGTAGTTTACAATTTGATCTAAAATCTCATTTGAAGTAGCATTGATTGGTAAAGATTGATAACTTTCACTTTCAGGTTGTAAAAAATTATTAACAACAATGGCATCGGTTTTCTGAAGTTCAAGTAAATCATATTGTTGAATATGAACTGGAAATAATAATTGTGTATCATTAGTGCCACTAAATCCAGTTGTTATTTTTGATCGTAAAGATGAAGACAAGTCCAAAGCTGATGAAACTAATTTATGAGGAAATTGTTTCGCTTCTCGAGGAAATACAAAATGATTCAGAAAATAATTGACAACTAACATATTGTATCGTAGAGTGGAAAAGATATCCTGAGTTTGTTGTTGGTAATCTTTTAAATTAACTCCTTTCCATTGTTTGATACTTAAAGGTACTCCATCTTGCTCTTCAGCTGGAATCCATTGTTCATAAGTAGATGCAGGATTACTTTCTGTTTTACTTAAACGAACGAAACATTGAATCAATTGTGAATCGTTTAAACCTGAATAATAATATGAGAGTTGTGTTAATACTAAAGCAACATCAGGACGACCGAATTCAGTTTTGTCAGCTATAATATCTTTTGCACGAAATGGTACAGCCATTAAACGATTAAAATAAGAATTTGGATTAATACCATAATTAACTCGATATCGTTTTTTCAAAGCAACCAACAGAACTTCTGATGATAACAAACCACGAATGATAAGAAATAGCTGAATATCAAGTGGTGAAAATTTATTAGCTAGATGCTCAACTGATGAATTAGTTTCTAAAATGAATGATACGATGATTTTCTTATCTGAATATCGATATGATCTTTGGTTAAGCCAGGCATTGGCTATATTTTCACACAATAATGAATATGGTTTATATGAATGCAAGGGAAATTGTGGAATAGAACTTTTTCGTTCAGATGGTTTATAACAAATTTCATTAGTGAAATATTTTGTGATGTCTGTAGCATGCTCTTTAACTAAGTTAAGTATTGATTGAATCGTTTCTCCATCGTTCTGCACCTTCATCGACTTGTTGTTGACCACCTACTGTATAAATTAATTGATATTTAACATGAAGAATTTCATCAGATTCGTCTAATACACCACGAGCATATTTTCTTAACGATCGTTGAAGTTTTAACGTAGAACGAGCAGTATAGAATTCATTGCGCCGACATTTATTAATAGTGAGCAAATCGAAAGATAAAATATCTTCTTTTCACGTCAGTATTATATCGTAATTATATAATCCTTGTTTGAGACGAGTAGAAATTTGATTTACTTGTTTGTTGTTGAAATTTATATCACGACAACATGCAAATGGAAAAATACGTCGATTCAATAAACCACCTAGTTTATATCTTAATAATTGGCAATTTATTGAAAACAATGATTTAAGTACAAGGATACGAACCAAACTTGAAGATGAACATAAACTTAGAGCTAACATTGGCAAAATGACTGATGTTTTTCCTTCACCCATATTCATTTGCATGATGATGTTTTTTATTGTAGTATCACCTGTTGTTATATTTGGTTCCATCATATGACGTGCTACGTTTATTTGAATTTCTCGAATAGTTATGTTCATTTCTAGTTCCAGGATTAGGCATGAAACATGCTCGAATGGTATCCAATTAGAATGTGGTATATTTGATATTTCTTTTGTAAAATCTTCCGATTTGTAGTGAATGGCATAATGCAAAGCTCTCTCTAGCTGCTGCTCTAATGTCCAACAGACAAGAATGCCACCTAGTTATGTGGGTTGATCGGTCGTCAAATCAAGTTTTTCTACCTTCGGTTGGAAGTAAGAGATCAGACCTGCTTCGAATTTTGAATTTCTTTGTCCAATAGAATTTTGTTCCAACTTTCAGCGAATTGTTTTTTAAAATAATTGATAATTTCACTGAGAGAATTTTCCTGATCGTTTGTGAACGAAAAAATATATTGTGGAAATTCATTTAGTCGATGTCTGCTTGAAGAAGAGTTTCTATTCGTTTATTGAAATAACCTGAATAAGGATGATGAAATTTTTGAGAGGCTTTTGTACCAGTTCTTGATCAATTAATATGTTTATCGATTTGACTTGTATTTGATGGTGTTCTTCTCTTGATTCAGTTGTAAATTGTTGTGGATAATATGATAATTTTGTATCAAATTGCTCTATTTTGACAGAATAAATTTGACTTTGAACAGATTCCAAAAAAGATCAAAGTTTTTTGTTATTTTGTCAAGACGTTAATAATTCGTTGATCTGAGTTATTTCGATAGATGTTGTCAGTTTTTTATTATTTTGATAATTCGAAGCGCTCAAGAAACAACATTCCGCTTTCGCTATAATTTCATTTCGTCTGTCCAGACTATAATTATTTGATAAATTGATGCGTTCTTTAATAAATGAAATTTCTTCGACGTCGAAATATTTAATGAATGAAGGAAATGTGACAAATGTCGACACTTGAGTAGGCATGTTTAACGGTGTCTTTAGGATTTGCAAATAAAATGGGTTGATATAAAGTTTGCTAGAGATGTAATGAAGGAAGTCTATCAACGTTTCAAATCGGTCAATTTCGTATCTCCTCTTTTCAGTCATCGATGTCTTAGACAGTCAGTCAATTTTAATAAATCAATCCAAATATTTTTCAGTTGATTTTCATTAGTCAGTCATTGAGACAAGAGTAACCAATGCTGTTGTGAACAATCTGCAAGGTTCACGTTTTTTCTGTTATACAAATCATTCGCAAGATGAACAGCAGTGTAGTTAGTGACATGCGAACAATGTTCGGAGGTCGAACAATATAGTACCACTGAATTGGTACGCAAGATATCAGTCTCCATCTCTACAGATAAACTGGCTATCAAATTGTATGAATCTCGATAGTCCCAATAGACTTTTTCAATAATTTTTCATTGTATATTTTGCTTTCAAATATTTCCGGTGTCCTATTGATGGTTAACGAGGGATATATGAAAGTGAATTGTTGACTAACGTCGATAAGCTTTTTTGCTGTTAAATAATAACCAAAACGTTGCATTGAATAAGGTAAACTATTCAAATTCCATTTTATTGTTACCATACACGTAAGATCTTCTGGGTAGTAAGTTGCCTTCGGCGAAATAGCAGTAATTTGACTTAAAATATTTAAAGAAAGTACATCGAAAAGTTGATCCGACCAACAACCAGCCGAATTTAACAATTGAAAGGCACGTGCCGTACCAGTCATTCCAGTATATTGATCTGGTAGGGAATGAGAAGTCATTGCATGTAACAATGCTAAATAAAGCCATTAAGTAAGGCTATCGCTCGATTGTAAGATTTTTAATCGATCATTTAGAATTAAAAAAAATAATGATGAAGATATTTTTTCAAGAATGATTTTCGTTGTATGGTTATAGTTTGATAGTTATTGTGCAAAACCTCTGCACCATGAATCTGTCCAAACGGTACAATCAATTTCCGATATGGATAGTGTGCCAGTCGATGATTATTGATAGGTAATGTTGCTAAGAGAAGACCAGATATTAAACCTGTTAATGTTCCCAACCATTGATTTTCATCAATACACATATCTGAATATTCACGAGACGTAATCATACCGCTATTAGAGTTGTATTTGAAAGCAATTCTTAAACGAGATAAATGAATGTGAATGATAATATCATTCAGTGGTAGCTGAATGAAATGCGAAGCATTGTCTATCATCATGTAAACACAAGACTTATCATCAAGACGAATAAAGTACCGATTGAACAAATTTTCAAAAAATGCTGATGATTGATTAACCAAAATTTGTGTATTAACTATTTCAGTAGTAATAATATATCCTGTCTCTATTGATAGAATGTAGGGTTTGTTATTTAAAAAATCAGTACCATTAAAATGAACAGGTCGAAATTCGACTGTCTGATCTTTTGCATTCCACCAATGACTGTGATCGGAAACAAACATATCTGGTAGTTCAGTCTCAAAACAATTATGAGGAATCAATTCGAATATTTCATTTGTCTGTATATGTCGTTCGGTAATTGTTAAACATTCGGTTTGATCATTGAAATGGAATTCATATTGAATTCTTCTATCACCATGATACGAATGTTTAGTAATATCAGTATTAGATGATTTAGCCGCTTGAACTTCAAAGATGTGCTCACCAAATACACGAACAAATAATTCATTGGAGGTTATTTTTTCAGGTAAAAGTCCTATTGTCATACCATCAAATAAAAAAGTTCCTTTGATACAATCAATTGATATATATCTTGATTCATATCGACAATCATACCAACCATCATAGATATCTTCATTTCGCTTCTTCCATTGTTCGTTCATGCCACGTTTTGTTTTGATGGCTGCCCAATAGGTCGTCGCAAATTCATTCAAACTTTGATAGGACGTTTTTTGAAGAAATTAAGCAATTGTTGGCTGTACCATTACTAACACACGTTCAGTCAATCTCATGATATTTCTCATAAAAGTATTCATATTCGATGTCTTAGTCTGATTTTTGTTTAAAATAATATTATCGTGAACAGTAGTTGCTGCTTTGAGCAATGACACGACATGTTCATTGTAAAACGAAGCTTTTCCACTTCATTAAAAGCTAAAGATATTCTTTGAATATTTTCTGAAATGAGATCAATCCATTTTTTTTTCACCAATTCTACGACACTTCATAACTAAATCTGCAATTCAACATTTCTCTTGTTGAGTTGCAAATAGTAAAGATTCTCATAGTAATCATCGTAATGACGACTAATACTAGCTCATTGTGCCAATTTAATTCACAATCATCTAAACGACGATCTAATCTCTCAATCAATTCATCGATAAAATTTTCTTTCAATAAATGTTCATGCGATTCTGGATACCAAGAATTAGACAATGCTCCTGAATCTGGTTTCAATGGACCATATTGTAATATTGAATGTATAATGAGTATGACTACACTTTCTTCAGCAATAGACAAGGAGTCTATTTCAAAAATCGTTAAGAAATTCTACCATTGTAAACGGTGTCCTAATCGAAATGAACCAAATGCGATAAATTGCGTAGGTTTTAATCGTAGTGGATGACCGGGCAACTGAGCAATGACGCGATTCTGGATGAATTGTATAATGTTTATAGTAAATTGTAAATGTTTGTAATCTTAATGATCAAGCTGAGGTGTTAAGATGCGACATTCATCTTCGAATTTATTTGGATGTGTTGGCGAGATTTGAACTTTTAAACAATTTTCGAATAAAAAGCCATCGATTGATGTAGATGCAATTGATGGCGGACTGAAATAGTGACTTTGGGTTATGCCTTTCGTAGAGGACACTAATTTTACTTTGCAGTTACTTGGACCAGTATAGAACGGCTTTAACTTGTCTGAATGAGAAGGAACGGTTAATCACTCATACATAAGATTCTCTGGTTGTGGTGAAGGACGGTTCACAAATCGCCAGATGATATCTCGATAATATCTTATTTCAATGGGCATTTGCAATTCAAAAATAACGGCCAATGCACTTTCGCGTTTGGATGGTAACGGACATTCGTAAATGTTTACTTGGATGTGATTAGCTTGTTGCTGAATACTACAGTTCTCACATATGTGACGAGTCCCATGTGTAATATTATCACATTTACAAGAAAGATCGCTTATTGATTTCATAAGGCGCGCATATTTTTCTTTCGAATTGTTAATTTCCTGTATTTTCTGTTGTTTAACCCATTCAGCCTCTGCTCTAATTCGCTGTATACTCTTATTCATCGTTGACGACAGAGCGGCAGAATATACACCAAATGAATCAGCAGATTCTATATTTTTTAAAAGATCAGGATATAGTTTATGATTTAATTGATAAAAATGATCGTAAAGATCACGAGCCCTAATCATATCTTCGCAAGTTGGTAAGACTAAAAATTCGAGCAGACTGATAAGATTAGGAATATCAATCGAATGCAATGCCAATCTTTCAAATCTTGGCTCATTACATAACTTTTCATGTATGACACGAATAATTGTTAATGACATTAGAATAAATCGACTGTAACCGATTGGATCCGTTGATCCTTTTACTGACCAACAATGATTCAATACTGCACTCTGATATTCTTCGTAGAAGCGTAATAAAATTTCAAACCGATTTGTTTCATTTTCCAATACTGATAGACGGTTGATCCATTGTTCTAAGTAAGATTCGACCCAAATTTCCATACGAGTCAAGACTATACAAATAGTATAATTGCACTTTTTTGTTAATTCTTCGATAGAAGGTATGTAATCTACTTTATTAATATCAGTGCAATCATCATGCCTACCAACATGTGAAGAAAGTTCAGATGTTTTGCTCGATGTCCGATTATTCAGATAATATTTTACTTTTAGACACGAAGGTTGATAAATCTCAGAATGATTTAATTTTAAATTATTCATTAACACTTTTTGACTCTTTTCTTTTTCCATTCTAATCAATTGTTGCCAATCTTGCTTCGGAAAATATTGATCAATTTTTCATNAATTGACAGTGATGGTCCTTGTACAAGTTATTGTCAATGCTTTTACTGTTTTGCCATACGTCATTCCAGTGGCTCTTACATTAAACACGAGTCTCATGAGTGATCCTGTTATCGCAACAAAAATACAGTTTACTGCCACTATTACTGTCTTATTGTATTATATTAACTTTGGGGTAAGCTATGAATCGATCAAACTACATTATAAATCATCATTCTGTTCGAAAAAATATTTCTATACATTTTTAGAGCCCATTTTTTATCTACATTTGTGCATCCGAACGATTTCGTCGACAATTGATTCATGTGCTATTTACGATTCACTTCGAACGATGGCGACGATCAAGAATGGTTGTTAATAAAGTAGCACCGGAATCGTAAAGAATGCTGATTTATATCCGTTTGATGAAGACAGATACTTTTCTACTGTGAAACAATTTCTTTTTGTTTAAATCTTTTGGTGTCAAATAAATATTGTATTTTCATTGATGTGATCTATACGAATCATGAAATTTAGAAAGCTCATATAAATGCGAAACATCTTTTGAAGAATCAAAGTGTTTAGTTTCAGTTTAAATCTTTTACTCTTCCTCATTCATCTTCATCTATTCTTTGTAATAGTTGTCACTTTCTATTGATATCAATAGAATAAAGTTTTTCGATTTAGGTCTTTTACTCTTTCTCATTCATCTGTATCTATTTATTCTGATTAGCTATTTAGCAGCTTATCAATTAGAAACAACGAGACGAGTAGTGTAGTGAAGTTTTTACATCTTAAATATTCTGCTACTGCTCTTGAACTGGTGTTCAAGCGCTCTGTTGTTGGATATGTGCTTCCAATGGATTTCAGACAAAATATAAGTATCTGGTCACTTTTGTAGTGTTTTATATAGTTATAAACTATTAACTAAACCGTGTTGTCTGTTTTGTGAGTTGTATAAATCTCATGAACTATTTAAATCATTCATCTACTCTTTGATAAATCCTTAGTATCATTATTGGCATTATTAAATTGTTTTGTCTATCCTTTCATAAATCGTTAGTACCATTGTTGGTACTATTTAACTGATGTATATACCCTTTGATGAACCATTAGTACCGTTGTTGGTATTATTAAACCCATCTATCTACCCGTTGATAATCGTTTTTAAGGTTATATACAGGCATTTATAAATGTCTTACACGCTTCTTGAGGATTTATAAAAGTAGAACATATAATAATTCCTCTTTTTTCGCTTATGGGTGGAGTGTGCATGGAGTCTGGGTGTGGGTTTCCATTTTACCCACACCCTTAAGGATAACGACTTCTACGTTTTAACTATGAAAAAAGCATGTTGATCCAAATGATGCAAAAGTCAGTATCCTTAAAAGTCTTATATCTCAGTCAAAATACATTGAAACAAAGAATTCTTTGGAGGTTGTACTCGTCTAGTGATGGCCTACCTTTGCACAAAATATGAGCTTTCAATATTGTAATAACTTGGGTGATTCATCTCATTGTTAGATGTTCCTTGAAAATGACCTGAAGGAACAGTATTTCAGACAAAAATCACATAAGTTTTTCGGCCAAAATTATTTTCTGTCCCCTATACACCTAATCAACACACAACAATTGATGAAAAGAACTTTTTCCAAAAAGTAGTTGGATTCGCATGGATTTACTCTTTTACTTTATTTTTTCTAATGCATTAGTTAAATATAGTACTGCTTCATCAGTGATGTTATTGCTGACTATATCCAATACCGTTAGAGATTGATTCGATTGATCATGATAACATACTAAATCTATGAATAAGCGGTGTTTCTCTCTATTATTTTCTAATGCATTAGCTAAATATTGTACTCCTTGATCATTGATCTTATTCAATGCAAGATTCAGATTTATTAGGGTCTGTGTTCAATGATAAACATGAATATGACATTCAATCTATAGATTATTGATCTCACTGAATTAGTTTTTAATGCATTAGTAAAATATTTCATTCCTTCATGTTCGATTTCATTGTGGGCAATGTTTAGTATAGTAAGTGTCTATTTTCAAATAAAATTGATAAGTATAGAATAGATAAGTTGTCTTACGGTATTATTTTGTAAAGCTTTGGCTAAAACTTGAGCTCCTTGTGAGTTAATTTTATTATAATAAAGAAACAATGTCATAAGTTTCGATTTTCAATAATAAAAATAAATAGATCATAAAAGAGCAGAAAAAATGATCTTACTTCACTTTTTTTGTAATGCATTAGCTATATATTGTATTCCTTGATCACTAAATTTATTATTCGATAGATCAAGTTTTATTAGTGTCTGTTTTAAATAATATCAATAAATATGAAGTCTAGGAACGACCTTACTCTTCCATTTTTGAATACTTGGAGGAATTTCATCTTCATTGTCATATAAAATCCATTGATCATAAATCAATGTTGCATCAGCTTCTTTCCTATCTAAACGATTGAAACATTGAAGTAATTGTTGATCATTTAAACCTGAATAGTAATAAGTGAGATGTGTTAAAACAAGTGCAACATCTGGATGACCAGATTCAGTTCTTTCAGGTGCAACATCTTTTGCACGAAATGGTACAGCCATTTTACAATTAAAAGTAGTATTTGGATTTATTCCATAATTAACTCGATATCGTTTTTTAAAAGCAACTAATAAAATTCAGATGATAATAAACCACGAACAATAAGAGATAATTGAATATCATTTTGTGGAAAATGTTTCTCAAGATGTTCAACTGATGAAGTTTCTTCTGAAATAAACGCTAAAATTCTTTGTTTATCTTCATAACGATAATTTCTAGAATTAATCCAATCATCTGCAACTTTTCTACACAAGAATGAAAATGGTTTATGTGATTGCAAACGAAATTGTGGAAATGCACTTTTTCGTTTAGATGGTTCATAAAAAACGTCCTCATTGAAACATTTTGAAATATCTTCGGCATGTTTTTTCACTAAATCAAGAATTATTTGAATAGTTCTCCATCGTTCTGCACATCCGTCTAATTGTTGTTGATCACCAACAGTATAAACTAATTGATATTTAACATGTAAAATTTCATCAGATTCATCTAAAATATCACGAACAAACTTTTTTAACCATCGTTGTACTGTTAACATAGAACTAGCAACATTGAATTCCTTTTGTCGACATTGATCAATTGTAAGTAAATCAAATGAAAGAATATCTTCTGGTGAAGTTAGTACTATATCACAGTTATCTAATGCTTCTTTTAAAACGATTTTCAATTCGGTTTATTTGTTCATTAGTAAAATTCAAATCTCGTCGACATACACATGGAAATATACGTCGATTTAATAAACCACCTAATTTATATCTTAATGATTGATGATTTGTTGGAAATAAAAATTTAAGTACAATAATACGAACTAAACTTGAATTAGATGAAGATAAACTAACACATAACATAGGTAAAATAACAGATGTTTTTCCTTCGCCCATATTCATTTGCATGACAATACTTTGTATTGTTGAATTATTTGTTGTCAAATTTGGTTTTATCATATGATTGGCTACTCGTATTTGAATATCTCGAATTGTGATATTCATTTCTAATTCCAAAATTAACCAAGACATGTTTTCGGATGGAATCCACTTTGAATAGGGAATATGTGATGATTCGTTTTTAAATTCATCCCATTTGTTATCATTTGCAAAATGCAAAGCTCTTTCCATTTGTTGTTCTAAAGCCCAATTAACAATTGCATCCCCGAGTGATGTCCATTGATCTTTTGTCAATACAAATGATACAGATTTATCAGAATCGTATTCTTTTTGTTGTTGTAATAAACAAATAAGATTTGACGGTGAAATTCTTGTTACCAAACCTATTTGAAATAATTGTTCATGAGATAATGTAATCGATTTAATATATTCATTCCAGAATTTCATATATTCTTTACGAAGAGAATTGAGAAGTTGGATTATTCGTTTTATTGAAGGATATTATTTTTCATATTGTTTATCTAACAGAAATTTGTTCCAGTTTTCAGTTAATTGAGTTTGAAAATATTTTTTTATTTCCCTAAAAGAATTATCTTGATCATTGATGGATGAAAAAATTTCTTGTGGAAATACATTATGTTGATCAACAGTTTGCACAGATAGATTTGATTTGTAAAAATAATCGGTATTAAAGCGATGAAATTTTTGTTCTGCACTCGATAATAGTGTTTGATCGATTAAATCGTTTGGAAATTTCAAATGTATTTGATGGTGATCTTTAAACAGTTCTTGTGCAAATTGTTGAGGAATATATGATACTTTGCTATGAAATTGTTTTATTGGAACAGAACAAATCTGATTTTGAACACTTTCTAAAAACGATCGAAGATTTTTGTTCGATCGCCAAGAATTCAATAATCTGTTGATTGTTTCTTGTTCAGTAGATGTTGCTATGTCATCAACATTTGGATATTTACAATTTTCTCTTCAACATCTTTCAACTTGTGGTATAATTAGAGTATCTTGGCATCGAGTACAGCGTTCTTCACGTGGGATAAGCGTATCTACAATGGAAGTTTGTTCGATGTTCACATAAGCAATAAAAGGAGGAAATGTAAGGGACATGAACGATATGTTAGACACTTTTAATGTTATCTTTAGCATTTGCAAATAATATGGTTTGATTTGACATTTGTCAGAAATATAATGAAGAAAGTTTAACAAACATTCAAATCGTTGAATATCGTCTGTACTTTTTCCAGTCGCTTCTGTTTTGAACCGATCGGCCAATTGTAACAAACCAATCCACAGAGTTTTTAATTGACTTCCTTTGGTTATCCATTGAGACAAAGGTAACCAATTTTGATCCGAACAATTCATAAGGTTTACATCTCCACTCTGATATAAGTCAGCGACAAGAAGATGAACGCTGTAGTTTGTGGTATCTAAAGAATGCATTGAAACATGTTCATATGATATCGTTGAATTAGTTGTGAATATTTCATCCTCCATCTCTACGGATAATCTAACTAAAGGATTATATAAATCTTGATAGTTCCAGTATAACTTTTTCAATAACTTTTCATTGTATTTTTTACCTTGAAATATGTACGGCGTTTCAATGTGAAATCATGAATGGATACATAAAATTGAATAGTTTACTACTGTTGAGTATTTTTTGTGCTATTAAATAATAACCGAAATGTTGCATTGAATAAGATAAACCATTCGAATTCCAATCTATTTTTTCCATACAAGTGAGATGTTCAGGATACTAAATAACTATCGGTGAAATGGATGCTATTTGACCAAGAATATTTGAAGAAAGCTCATTGAAAGGTTGATCAGACCAACTACCAGCTGATTTTAATAACTGAAATGCTCGTTCCATCCCAGTCATTCCAGTATATTCATCTGGTAAAGGATGAGAAGCCATCGCATGTAGCAAGGATAAACAAAACCATCCAGTGGGACTATCTGTTGATTGAAGCATTTTTAAACGATCATTTAGAATAAAAACAAAATATTGTTAAGATTTTACAAATAATCGATCTATGGTAACAGTTTGATGATTAGTATCTTTATTTCTTTTACCTTGCATTGTACCAAAAGGTACGATCAATTTTCGATATGGATAATGTCTCATTTCGTGATTATTCACAGACAATGATGATAAAAGAAGACCAAATGTTAAACCTGTTAATGTTTCCAACCATTGATCTTCATCAATACACATATCTGAATATTTCCGAGATGTGATATTTGTAGTTCGACTGTTATACTCAAAAGCAAGTCCTAAACGAGTTAAATGTATATGAATAATGGTATCACTCTGGGAGGTATTTTCACACATCATGTAAACGTAGGATTTGTCATCGAGACGAATAAAGTATCGATTGAATAAACTTTGAAACAATGCCGACGATTGATTAACTAACACTTGTTTATTAATTGTTTCGGTAGTAGTAATGTATCCTGTTTTCATAGATAGCACATACGGTTTGTTATTTAAAAAGTTCGAATTTTTAAAAAGAACGGGTCGAAATTCAATATCCGATCTTTCTCATTCCACCAATGACTATGATTGGAGACGAAAGTATCTGTTAATTCGGCTTGAAAACAAGAATGACGACCCAGCTAAAATATGTCTTTTGTATGTAAATGCCGTTCTCTAATTGTAAAACGTTTGGTTTGGTCATCAAAATTAAATTCATATTGAACTCTTCCATTGTCATGACATGAATGTTTAGTTATATAGGTCTTAGATGACGCAGCCGGTTGAACTTTAAATATATGATCNCATATGTTGTGCTACTTTAATCTGAATCTCTCGAATAGTTATATTCATTTCTAATTCTAAGATAAGCCAAGAAATATGTTCCGATGGTTTCCAAATTGAATGTGGCGTATGAGATATTTCTTTTTTGAAATCTTCCCACTTTTTATGAATTGCAAAATACAAAATACGTTCGATTTGTTGTTCTAATGTCCAATTGACAATAATACCGCCGAGTATCGTACAATGATCCTCCGTTAGTAGAGAACGAGATGAATCTTTTTGTTGAAGTAAAGGTATTAGAGTTGTTGGTGTCATTCTTAAAATTAGACCTGTTTCAAGTAATTGCTCATTGGATAATTTTATAGAACTTAATAATTCATTCCAAAAGCAGGCAGATTCTTCCCGAAAAGAGTGAAGAAGTTGAATAATTTTTTTAAGTGAAGAATATCCTTCTTCATACTCATTATCCGAAAGAAATTTTTTCCAACTTTGAGATAATTGATTTTTAAAATAATTCATAATTTCGCTTAGATCATTGTTTTGCTTAGTAATAGAAGAAAAAATTTCTTCTGGAAATTCATTTCTTTGATCAGATCTTCGAACAAAAACTGTTTGATTTAGATCCACTGAATTGTAATCATGAAACTTGTTTTCAGCAGTTCGTAAAAGCATTGGATCGATTAATCTTTCTATAGGTTTTATTCGTATTTCATAATGATTTTTACCAAGCTCACATGCAAATCTTTGAGGATAATATGGTACTTGAGCATGAAACTGTTGTATCGGAAGGGAACAAATGAGACGTTGAATAACTTGTAAAAATGCTCGAAGTTTTGCGTTAGCTCGGCGAGATCGCAATTGTGCATTTATTTGGTGTATTTCACTATTGGTTAGTAGGTTATCGTGATCTTGAAACCTAGCGCTATATTTAAAAGAGTGCTGAATTTCTGCTATAATTTTTCTGCGCTGGTTTGAAGTAAAATCAGTTAGAAAAGAGTCGAACAGATCATCAATATCGGTTTTTTCAATATGTTCATAAGATTCAAAAGCAGGAAACTCGACGGATCTTAGCGATATAGAAGAAATCTTCAACGCTGTCTTTAACATTTGTAAATAAAAGGGATTGATTTTACGTTTACCAGAAATATAATGAAGAAAGTCTAACAAGCTTTCGAATCGTTTAACATCGTCCATATATTTCTCACCTGTTTCTGTTTTAAGATGATCAACCATTTTTAGCAAACCGATCCATATATTTTTCAAATTATTTTCATCAGTCAACCATTGAGACAAGGGTAACCAATGCTGTTTTGAACAATCTCGAAGATCTACACATCCATAATTGTATAAATCGTCTACGAGACAAACAGCATTGTAGTTTGTGACATGCGAACAATATTCTGAAGATGAACAATACAATGTCGTTGAATTAGTAGGTAAAATATTAGCTTCCATCTCAATAGATAATCTCGCTGTAGGATTATATGAATCACGATAGTCCAAATATAGTTTTGCCAATAAGACTTCATTGTATACTTTTCCTTCAAATAGTTCGGGCATTTTATTTAAACTAATTGATGGGTACATAAAATTGAACAGTTGACTACTTTCGATTAGTTTTTTGGCTATAAAATAATAACCGAAATGTTGCATCGAATAAGGTAAGCCATTTGAACTCCAGTCTACTTGTTCCATAGAAGTCGTTTTTTTTGGATAATAATTAACCTTTGGTGAAATCGATGCGATTTGACTGAGAATATGTAATGATAGTTTATCAAAAGGTTGATCTGAATAACTGCCAGCTGAATTTAGTAATTGAAAAGCTCGTTCCATTCCAGTCATACCTGAATATTCATCTGGTAAAGGATGAGAAGTCATTGCATGTAACAAGGCTAAGTACAACCATCCGGTGGGACTATCTGTTGATTGAAGTATTTTTAATCGATCATTGAGAATAAAAACAAAATATTGACAAGAAAACGACATATTAGTTGGTCGAACTATTGTAGTAATCTGATGGCTTGTGGACGTATTTTCTTTACTTTGAACAGTGCCAAAAGGTACGATTAATTTTCGATAAGGATAATGATTCAATATATAGTTATTGACAGGTAATGGTGATAAGAGAAGACCACATTTTAAACCTGTTAAAGTCCCCAGCCATTGATCTTTATCAATACACATATCGGAATATTCACGAGATTTTATAATGTGAGTTCTAGAATTATATTCAAAAGCGATACCTAAGCGAGATAAATATATATAAACAATTTTATCGGTCTGAGAGATATTGCCACGCATCATGTAAATGTATGGGGCATCGTCAAGACGATTAAAGTATAAATAAAATAGTGCTTGAAAGAATTTTGAGGACTGATTAATCAAAATTTGTGAATTATTATCTGTGGTAGTAATAAGATATCCATTTTTCAATGATAATATATAAGGTCTGTTATCTAAAAAATCAGGTTCTTTAAAATGAATCGGTCGAAATTCAACGATCTGGGTTTTTATGTTCAACCAATGACTGTGTTTGGAGACAAACGTGTCAGGCAATTCTTTCTCAAAACAAACATGAGTAATTAATTGAAATTTTTCATTTGTGTGTATATGTCGTTCAATAATTCTCAAACATTTAGTTTCATCGTTGAAATAGAATTCATATTGAACTCTTCCATTGTCATGATATAAATTTTTAGTAATATAAGTTTTAGGTGATTCAGCTAGTTGAACTTCAAATATATGATTACGAAAAACACGTATAAATAATTCATTCCTTGTTATGTTTTCAGGTAAAAATCCTATAGACATATCATCGACTAAGAATGTTCCTCGAATACAATCGATCGATATATATCTTGATTCATATCGGCAATCATACCAACCATCAAAGGGATCTTGCCTTCGTTTTTTCCACTTGCCATTCATAGTACCTTTGCTCCGAATAGGAGCCCAATAGATGGCAGCAAAATCATTTAAAGCTTGATAAGAAGATTTTCGAAGCAACTCAGCAATTGTTGGTTGTACTCGTACTAAGATATGTTCACTATATCTCATAATATTTCTGATGTATGTACTTATACTAGATTTATTGTTGTTTAGAATAACATTATCGTGAATAGTAGTTGCTGCTTTCAATAGAGATAGTATATGTTCAGTCGATGATAATAAATAGTGCAATCGATCAGAGTGAGTTGAAAATGTTATGATGCATGAAATGCCAATAATTGCAATTTTCATACGAAGTTGATCGATTTTATCAAAAGCAGAGGGCGATAAGATTTTGATATTCTCTGAAATTAGAGAAATCCATCTCTCACCGATTCTGCGGCATTTAATCACTAAATCAGCAACTTTATCTTGTCTGATTGAATTACAAATTGTTAAAATTCTCATCGTAATCATCGTAATCGTTACTAACACTAATTCATTTTGCCAATTTAATTCACAATCATCTAAACGACAATCTAGCCTTATAATCAATTCATCGACGAAATGATCTTCTAATAAGTATTCATGGGCTTCCGAACACCAAAAGTTACTAGATGAAATACCATCAGTTGTCCATGGGCCGCATTGTAGTATTGAATGTGTTATCAGGATTGTTACACTTTCTTCATAAATGGGTAATGAGTCCATTTCAAAAAGCGCTAAAAGATTCCACCATTGTAATCGGTGACCTGATCGAAATGAACCGAATTCTATAAATTGATTAGGTTTAAGTTTTGCCGAACAATTCGATAGATTAGCAATGACATCATTTTGAACAAACTGTGTAGCATCTATAGTAAATTGTAATTGTTTGTAATCTGGATGATCAAGTTGTGGCGTTAATATGCGACGTTCGTCTAGCAATTGAATCGGTTGTGTTGGTAAGATTTCAACAGTCAAACTATTTTCAAATAAAAATGCTTCAATAGATGCAGTTGTAACGAATGGTGGAGAAGAATAATGAGTTTCTGTAACAGATTTATGGGCTGAGACTAATTTTACTGTGTAGTAAGACGGACCAATAAAGTAAGATTCTAACTTCTGACGATGAGGACTAGAACTTAGCCATTCATGCATTTTATGTTTTGGATTTGGGTTTGGTCGATTCACAAACTGCCAGATAATATCCCGATAATATCGGATTTCAATGGGCATCTGTAATTCGAAAATAACAGCCAGTGCACTGTCACGATTTTTTGGTAATGGGCATTCGTAAATATGTACGCGAATGTTTTCAGCTTGTTTTCTAGTGCAACAACTGTGACATGTTTGATAATAACCACGTTTATAGGTACATGTACAAGGAAGACCTTTTATCGAATTCATAAGTTTTGCGTATCTTTCTTTTTCACTTTTGACTTCTCGTATTTTCTGTTGTTTATCAAATTCTGCTTGAACTCGAATTTTCTGTATACTTTCATTCATCTGCGGCGATTGAGAAGCATAATATACACCGAATGCATCGACATCGTCTATGGTTGATAAAAGGTCAGGATATTTTTTATGAGTAAATTCACTAAAATAATCTTTAAGACTCGAAACACGAATCATATCTTCTCGATTTGGTATAATTAAAATCTCGAACAATTTCATAAGATTTGGAATGTTAATAGAATGTTGTTTGAGTCGTTCAAATCTTTGATCGTTACATAATTTTTGATGTACTGACCGAATAATCGTTAATGATGTTAAAATGTGTCGACTATAACCTATAGGATCTGTTGGACCCTTGTCTGACCAATAATGATTTAATGCTGCATTTTGATAGTCTTCGAAGAAGTTTAACACAGCTTCAAGTCGATTTGTTTCAAGGAAGAATACTTCCGAACGATTAATCCATTTATCTAAACGTGATTCAACCCAAATTTCCATTCGAGTCAAGCTTGTTCCAATGGTATAATTGAATTTTTCTGTTAATTCTTTAACTGATGGTATGTAATCATCTTGCATAACGTTACTCTTAACATCATATTTCTTCATTCCTGGCAAAAATGTCATTGTTTTTTTTGGAATTTGATTATTAAGATAAGCTTTTAAGTCTTCGCACGAATGTTGATAAATATCCCCTTTAAGAAATTCGAATTTAGTCATAAGTAATTTTCGATTCGTTCCTTCATTGGATTTAATGAATTTTTGCCAATCTGATTTTGGAAGAATTTGTTCAATTTTCATTCGTATGTCTAGTTTCATAGATTGCACCCATTCATTTATATCACTTGACAATGTGTGCGATAACATATTTTCGATTTTATTTAATCTTCGAACAATTTTTCGAACACAATAAATTAATAAATCAACCGATATTGTAGAATATGTTTGGCAAACAACATATGTTAAAAAATGAGTAATCAATAATTTATAAATAAGAGTACCATCATCTATCAAACGTTTGGTTAAAATCATCTGAAACACTACTTTCATAGTCAACCATAAACCGGAACGTCGAAAAGGTATTTTGGCCTTCTGCCATCTTATATGATCACGATGTTTTTTCTTGAATTGAATAGAACTATAGGAGTTATTTTCGATTTTAATATCTTGAAACTGTTGAATCCACCATTGACATACATAATGAGATTCCGGTACATCACGTATTTTATCGCATTGTCGTGAGGCTTTAGTAGATTTAGAATATTCAATGGTGTTACACATAAAATCTGCTAACAATTCACAATGAACGTTGGAAGTCAATTGGGATCGATCATTTAATCTGTATGTTGTTACTGAAAAGCAAGAAAAATGAGAACGAAACGAAGAAGTAATTTCTGCAGTTGGCAATAAAACTTGCCAGGATGAAATTAGCGGCTGATCAATGTTGTTCTCTTCGATTTCAATTAAAATTGCTGCATTTTGAGTATTGAAATATAACGGAAGAAAACTTCCTGGCATTAATTGTTCAATCGTGGATTGTAAAGCTGATATAGAAAATTTCGTACGATTTTGCAAGACTAACCAAGGTTTTATGCAATTATCACTAAGTACTCGCAGTATTGGTAACCTATTAATATCGTTTGTTGAGTTAACATTATTCTTGCGTTTGTTTTAAAAAAATCAAAACATATTCTTTCAGTTGTGAACAATGAATAAATCAATTTTAAATCACTTGTTTCTTCCACTCTATCTGCCATCTTCAGCTGATGATGATTTTCTAATTGGATTCAATTATCAACATGAACACATTATATTGGAATATATGAAAGATTATTTGAATAATTTTGACTCAGCAAAGGATATGATTAATTTACCAGTAGGNAAGTGTAACGAAGTCTTTTGAAGTCTTTTGAAGACCCATGAAGTCATACGAAGTCTTATGAAGTCTTGCGAAGTCATTTGAAGTCCTATGACGTCTTCAGAAGTCTTTAGAAGTCTTCTGAAGTCTTGTGAAAATATGAAGTCACAGCGGCTGAAGTCTGTTGAAGTCTGTTGAAGTCTTTTGAAGTCTTGAAGTCTTGAAGTCCGCTGTTTCCCCCTTGGGAATATATGATACTTTGCTATGAAATTGTTTTATTGGAACAGAACAAATCTGATTTTGAACACTTTCTAAAAACGATCGAAGATTTTTGTTAGATCGCCAAGAATTCAATAATCTGTTGGTTGTTTCTTGTTCAGTAGATGTTGCTATGTCATCAACATTTGGATATTTACAATTTTCTCTTCAACATCTTTCAACTTCTGGTATAATTAGAGTATCTTGGCATCGAGTACAGCGTTCTCCACGTGGGATAAGCGTATCTACAATTGAAGTTTGTTCGATGTTCACGTAAGAAATAAAAGGAGGAAATGTAAGGGACATGAAAGATATGTTAGACACTTTTTATGTTGTCTTTAGCATTTGCAAATAATATGGTTTGATTTGACATTTGTCAGAAATATAATGAAGAAAGTTTAACAAACATTCAAATCGTTGCATATCGTCTGTACTTTTTCCAGCCGCTTCTGTTTTGAACCGATCGGCCAATTGTAACAAACCAATCCACAGAGTTTTTAATTGACTTCCTTTGGTTAACCATTGAGACAAAGGTAACCAATTTTGATCCGAACAATTCATAAGGTTTACATCTCCACTCTGATATAAATCAGCGACAAGAAGATGAACGCTGTAGTTTGTGGTATCTGAAGAATGCATTGAAACATGTTCATATGATATGGTTGAATTGGTTGTGAATATTTCATCCTCCATCTCTACGGATAATCTGACTAAAGGATTATATGAATCTTGATAGTTCCAGTATAACTTTTTCAATAACTTTTCATTGTATTTTTGACCTTGAAATATGTACGGCGTTTCAATGTGAAATCATGGATGGATATATAAAATTGAATAGTTGACTACTGTTGAGTATTTTTTGTGCTATTAAATAATAACCGAAATGTTGCATTGAATAAGGTAAACCATTTGAATTCCAATCTATTTTTTCCATACAAGTGAGATGTTCAGGATAATAATTAACTATCGGCGAAATGGATGCTATTTGACCAAGAATATTTGAACAAAGCTCATTGAAAGGTTGATCAGACCAACTACCAGCTGATTTTAATAACTGAAATGCTCGTTTCATTCCAGTCATTCCAGTATATTCATCTGGTAAAGGATGAGAAGTCATCGCATGTAGCAAGGATAAATAAAACCATCCAGTGGGACTATCTGTTGATTGAAGCATTTTTAAACGATCATTTAGAATAAAAACAAAATATTGTTGAGATTTTACAGATAATCGATCTATGGTAACAGTTGGATGATTAGTATCTTTATTTCTTTTACCTTGAATTGTGCCAAAAGGTACGATTAATTTTCGATATGGATGATGTCTCATTTCGTGATTATTCACAGACAATGGTGATAAAAGAAGACCAAATGTTAAACCTGTTAATGTTTCCAACCATTGATCTTCATCAATACACATATCTGAATATTCCCGAGATGTGATATTTGTAGTTCGACTGTTATACTCAAAAGCAAGTCCTAAACGAGTTAAATGTATATGAATAATGGTATCACTCTGGGAGGTATTTTCACACATCATGACAACGTAGGGTTTGTCATCGAGACGAATAAAGTATCGATTGAATAAACTTTGAAACAATGCCGACGATTGATTAACTAACACTTGTTTATTAATTCTTTCGGTAGTAGTAAGGTATCCTGTTTTCATAGATAGCACATACGGTTTTTTATTTAAAAAGTTCGAATTTTTAAAAAGAACGGGTCGAAATTCAATACCTGATCTTTCTCATTCCACCAATGACTATGATTGGAGACGAAAGTATCTGCTAATTCGGCTTGAAAACAAAAATGACGAACCAGCTGAAATATATCTTTTGTATGTAAATGCCGTTCTCTAATTGTAAAACGTTTGGTTTGGTCATCAAAATTAAATTCATATTGAACTCTTCCATTGTCATGATATGAATGTTTAGTTATATAGGTCTTAGATGACGCAGCCGGTTGAGCTTCAAATATATGATCACCAAAGAGACGTTTATATAATTCATTAGTTGTAATTTTTTCAGGCCAAAAAACCTATGGTCATTCCATCAATTAAAAACGTTCCATTACTACAATCAATTGATAGTTGTCTCGACTCATATCGACAGTCGTACCAACTAGTATAAGGATCATTTGTTCTTTTTTGCCATTTTCCATCCATAGTTCCATTGATTAGAATGACTGCCCAGTAGATTGTAGCAAAATCATTTAAACTTTGATAGGCACTTTTTTCAAGGATTTCAGTGATTTTTGGCTGTAACATAAATAACACACGTTCAGTTAATCTCATCATATTTTTAACAAAATTACTCGTATTAGATTGATTCATGTTTAAAATAATGTTATCACGAATAGTAGTTGCTGCTTTTAGTAACGATACGATGTGTTCATTCGATGATAATAAATAATCTATTCGAGCACGATGAGTTGAAAATGTTAAGACGCATGAAATACCAATGTTTACCATTTTAAGTCGAAGTTTTATCAATTCATTACAATGAGAAGAAGATATTTTTTGAATGTTCTCTAAAATGAAAACAATCCAGTTTTCCCCAGCTCTTCGACATTTAATAGCTAAATCCGCAACTCGTTTGTCTCTTGTTAAATCGCAAACCGTTAGAATTCTCATAGTTATCATCGTAATAACCATTAATACCAGTTCATTTTTCCAACTTAATTGACAACCATCTAAACGCCGCTCTAATCTTGCAATAAATTCATCAATAAAATAGTCTTCCAATAACTGTTCATGTGATTCTGAACACCAAGAGTCAAAAATTTCATTTTTATCCGTTCTTAAGGGACCATATTGTAATATGGAATGTATAACTAGAATTGCGACACTTTCTTCCGCAAAGGACAATGAATCCATTTCCAAAATGGCCAACAGATTCCACCATTGTAAGTGATGTCCTGAACGAAATTTACCGAATTCGACGAACTGTATGGGATTTAGTTCTGCTGAACACTCAGACAACTTAGCAATCACTTGATTTTGTACGAACCGCGTACTGTCTACAGCGATTTGTAATGGTTTATAATCTCGATCATCAAGTTACGGTGTTAATGCTCGACATTCATCTTTGATTGCAATGGTTTTGGTTGGCGATATTTGAATTTTCAAACTGCATTCGTACAAAAAATTGTTGACAGCTGCAGATACAATTGAAGGAGTGGAGTAGTGCGTTTGAGTTATGGATGTTGTGGAGGGCACTAATTTTACTTAATTATTATTTGAACCAGTGTAGAATGGTTCTAGTTTGCTGAAATAAGGAGACACTCTCCACCATTCATACATATTATGCGGTGAATGTGAATTGGGACGGTTTATAAATTGCCAGATAATATCACGAAAAATTCGAGGGTGGCTGTGAGTGGGTGTGGGTGCAGGTGTGGGTGTGGGTGGGTATGGGTGCGGACGTGGGTGCGGGTATCGCTGTGGGTGGGGTGTGTGACTGTTGGCGAGTGTGTGCTAGTAGATGCCAAGTAAAGGAAGATCCACACCCACGCCCACACACCCACACCCACACCCACACCCACACACCCACACCCACACCCACACACGCACACCCACACACCCACACACCCACACCCACACACCCACACCCACCCACACGCACCTACACCCACACCCACACCCACATCCACACACTTTTTTGACTTGATCAAACATAAAATTTGTAATACATGAATATGTATTAAATCATTAACGATTTTGGATTGATCAATAGATCATGTTTATTAAACATAGTCAGTATAGATATTGCTTGATACACTTAAAACTCGACATTTGTTTACATCTGATTCATTTATTTGAAGTACTTTTAATAAAATATCTTTAGTGTAGTTTAGAAGGAATCAAGTGCTTATTGAAAAAGTTTTTTATTAAATGAGTATGCCCAAATGTGATACTAAACAATGATACAATGTCAGTAGCATGGTTGTGTGACTGGGTCAGTTGAAAAAGTTCATAATTCATTTTTATAATGAATGCAAGCAAAAGATTACTAAATGGATTCTTGAGTTTCTTCATCATGATTTTGGACTCTAAACAGAGACCCTACAAATTAAAAGTGAAATGAGAAATATCTTAGGTAAGAGATTTTGCAGCAAGTGTGACTAAGAATCTGAATGTTGGTAAAATTAGGGTATGGATGTGGCTTTGGATAGTTGTATTTCTTTTCTTTTAGGTTACGCTCAAATCCATATCCAAATTATTTATTCCAAAAGGGTTAGGTTTTTAACGTTTTCTGCTTTAGTATTAAGCGTTGTCTTATTAATTTCTTATAATGCAAGCTTTTAGGTAGAGTTTAGGTGTTAAATGAAGACAATTTCTATATTTACAGAATGAAATCTACCATAATAATCGTAAAAAATGATTTCTTCAATTTTTCTGATTATTTTGAGTTTTTGAAGTATTTGATAACACTACTTTTTTGTTTAAATTAGTTTTTTGTAAAGTTGACAGAAAATTTGAAAATATCAAGTTTTGCTCCTTCATCCTTTAGTCAAAAAAAGTCAGTCTAATAAAAAAAAATCTGATTTCAGCTATTCTTGCCTTCATCAAAAGCCTATTGGTTCGCTTTTTCTCTATGATAAACAAAAAAATTTCGATATCCAATTTTGAATACGCTGTCATGTGGATAAATCGATGTATATTTTCTTCGTAGAGAGACACGTAATGTAAAGAAAGCAAAATGACGTGTAGGGGGAGAATATAGTGACAAAAAACAAACACGTGCGATGATAAATGTATCTTTACGACACCAACTATCTGTCTTATGAAAAAGTCATGCTTTATTGATGTACATAACGAGAGAGACGTAGGAAAAAACAATGAATTTCGTCATCGATATATACGTAGCAAAACTAACTGCGAACGTACATAGAAAATAATTAATATATTTCAGTTTCATTGAAGGTACGTCAGTATACATTGTTTTCAAATTATTCAGGAGACATTCTATGAAATAATCAAGAAATTATTAACAGCGCCATACTCTTCAAAACACTGATCTTCCCTCTCTTTTTTGTTAGTGCACTGTAGTTTTTAAATAAATCAGTTTTCTTAAAAATCGAGTTAGCAAATGCTCAAACAATTTCAGATTATTATTAATTGTTAAACGATTTAATAATTTGCAGCATATGCTTGATTTTTTCAAGAATAAAATTTCAATCTAATTTTGAGGAAAAATTACTTTCAAACGAGTTTAAAGATCAATAACAATTTTTAATGACGTTTGAAAATTGATTCCAATTTTTCAGAAAACCAATTTGAACTCTAGAAAAAAGCGTAAGAGCATCATTACTCTTTGAATTACAATTTGACGAATCGCTACTGTAGTATTATTGTTTAGTCACATCTATAAGTTAGTTATCAGTGTCAAGAATTTATTTTTCTTCGATAGCTGCATCGGATATCTTACATGCATAAAGTGCAGCTACCGCATACTAGTTCGTCGTATAATGATAAAATCAAGAAATAAATAATTTTTTTCTTGGTGATCAGAGATTAGAGTCCTCCGGGACAGTCCCGAAAATTTTTCGGGAAGGGACAAACGGGATCGGGACAAATCAAAAAATTTCGGGACGGGACAAGCGGGATTCGGGACAATTCGAAAAATAATGTTGTCCCAAAATTTTTGAGCTTGTATATCGAAATCCGTTGTAAACTTGAAATTTCATATTGTTCACAAACATTTTAGTACTTAAATAAAAAGTGTCAACGAAAAACACAAAAAAACAAGCCACGAGATGTTTTAATGTTTGTCTATTATCATTCTCTTTATCAGCTATTTTACCTCTAATGCCATTTAAGCACATCGTCTTATTTGGTTAACGCACTTCACCGATCAATTANTTCAAGACATAATTTCGTCATTTGAATTTTTTGTAAATACCTTGTCATAGGCCGAAAAATCAGTAAAATGGCCATAACCTTCGAAAGAAGCAACATGGGCCCAAATCCTCTTAGGCTTTTTCTTAGCATACTGACCCCTACATATGGGCAAAATATAAGCAAAATCGGCGTGAATCACTTGGAACGGTTCCCTCGTAAGTGAAGTACTGACTGAATGGTATTCCATCTTTCTGCGCCTCCATCGACGTGTTGTTGATCGCCCACAGTATAAACCAATTGATATTTAACATGTAGAATTTCATCGGATTCCTCTAATATATCACGAGAAAATGTTTTTTGACCATCGTTGAACTATCAACATAGAACGACCCACATCAAATTCATTTCGTCGGCATTTATCTATAGTGAGAAAATCGAAGGACAGAATGTCTTCTGGTGAAGTTAAGGTTACATCACAATTACGTAAACCTTGTTTGAGACGATTAAATATTTGATTTATTTGTTCATCGTTAAAATTCATATCACGACGACATGAAAAATGAAATACGCATCTATTCAGTAAACCGCCTAATTTATATCGCAATGATTGATAATTTGTTGGAAATAAAGATTTAAGAACTACTACACGAACCAAACTGGAATCAGATGAAGATAAACTAACAGCTAACATTGGTAAAATGACTGACGTTTTACCTTCTCCCATATTCATTTGCGTTACTAGATTTTTTACTTTAGTTTTGTCTGTTATCGTATCTGGCTGCATCATAATGACGTGCTACATTTATTTGGACTTCTCGAATGGTTATGTTCATTTCCAATTCCAGAATTAGCCAAGGAACATGTTTAGATGGTATCCAGTTTGAATGTGGTGTATTTGATATTTCTTTTGCAAAATCTTCCAATTTGTCATGAATGGCATAATGCAAAGCTCTTTCTAATTGTTGTTCTAATGCCCAACAGACAAGAATGCCGCCTAGTAATGCAAGTTGAGCGTGAGTCAAAGCAAGCTCTACTTTCTTTCGTTGGAAAAAAGAGATAAGAGTTGTGGGTATAATTCGTGAGATCAGACCTATTTCGAATAATTGTTCATTAGACATCATTCAGAGGATTGTCTCTATTGTTGATGGAAGGAGAAATTTGATTTGGAAATGTAGTCTGTTGATTGATACTTTGAAAAGATATTGCTGGTTTCTTGAAATGACCTGAATAAGGGCAGCAAAATTTTTCAAGAGCACTTCGTAACAGTTCTTGATTAATTAATTTGTTTGTCGATTTAACTTGTATTTGATGATGGTCTGCAATGAATTCAACTGAGAATTTCTGAGGATAATATGATATTTTCCTATGGAACTGTTCTATCGGCATGGAAAAGATGAGAGTTTGAACAGATTCTAAAAAGGATCGAAGTCTTCTGTTACTTTGCCAAGACGTTAATAACTGATTAATCTGAGCTGTTTCACTAGAAGTTGCTAGTTTACTTCTATCTTCATAGTAACAATTATTATGCCAAGCATTTTCGACTTCTGCTATGATTTGATTTCGTGTATCTGAAGTATAAGAACTTGATAAGTTGATGCGTCCTCTTACAATTGATATTTCTTCTATGTTGGAATATTCAATAAATGGAGGAAATTTGACAATCGTCGTTAATACAATAGTTATTTCCAATGCTGTTTTAAGCAGTAGCAAATAAAATGGCTTGGTCTTAAGTTTTCCAGAAATATAATGAAGAAAGTCTATTAACTTGTCAAATCGTTCAATCTTGTCTTTAGTATTTCGAGTTGTTGATATCTTGAGACAGTCAACCATTTTTAATAAGCCAATCCATATCGTTTTCAATTGATTTTCATCACTCAGCCATTGGGACAAGGGTAGCCAATGTTGCTGCGAACAGTCTTTAAGGCTTACATTTCCTTTCTTATACAAATCATCGGCAGAACGAACAACAGTATGATTAATTGTACGCGAACAATATTGTGTAGCTGACTGATATGCTTTCGGGTACAATGCGCACAGGATATTTTCTTCCATCTCTGTAGACAATCTAGCTATAGGATTGTATGAATCTCGATAGTTTCAGTAAAGTTTTTTTAACAATAATTCATTGTATATTTTTTCTTCAAATATTTTGGGCATCTGAGTACAAATGGACGATGAATACATGAAATTCAATTGTTGACTAGTCTCAATTAATTTTTTTGCTATTAAATAATAACCGAAATGTTGCATAGAATAAGATAAACCATTAATATTCCAGTCTATTTTTTCCATACAAGTCAGATGTTCTGGATAGTAATCTACCTTCGGCGATATGGCAGCAATTTGACCTAATATATTTAGAGAAAGAGAATCGAAGGGTTGATCTGATCAACAACCAGCTGAATTTAATAATTGAAAAGCACGTTCCATTCCAGTCATTCCCATATACTGATCAGGTAAGGGATGAGATGTCACTGCATGGGGCAGTGCTAAATAAAGCCAACCAGTCGGACTGTCGGTCGATTGTAGAATTTTTAATCGATCATTTAGAATAAAAACAAAATATTGGTGAAGAAACGATATTGACGATGATCGCTGTATAGTGACAGTTTGATGACTGGCATCGAAGATCCTTTCACAACGTATTTCTCCAAAAGGCACGATCAGTTTTCGATATGGATAGTGTTCAACTGTCTGATTATTGATGGGCAATGGTGATAAGAGAAGGCCAGATGACAAACCTGTTAAAGTTCCCAAACATTGATGTTTGTCAATACACATATCTGAATATTCACGAGACATAATTATATTCGTGGTAGCGTTATATCGAAAAGCAATACCTAAACGAGATAAATGGATGTGAATGATGTTACTAGTCTGAAAAGTATTATCTCGCATCATGTATATATAGGGTTTATCATCGAGACGAATAAAGTACCGACTAAATAAACTTTGAAAGAATGCTGACGATTGATTAACCAAAATTTGTGCATTAACTGTTTCAGTATTAGTAACATATCCTGTCTTCATTGATAATATATAGGATTTATTTAAAAAATCGATATCTTTAAAATGAACAGGTCGAAACTCGATTGTTTGATCTTTTTCATTCCACCAATGACTGTAATTGGAGACAAACATGTCTGGTAATTCATTTTCGAAAAAACTATGAGGAATTAATTCAAACATATCATTCGTCTGTGTGTACCATTCTTTAACAATCAAGTGGTTACGTCGATCATTGAAATGAAATTCATATTGAACGATTCCATTAACATGATACGAATATTTAGTAACATATGCATTAGGTGAGTCAGCCGCTTGAACTTCAAAGATATGATCACCAAATACACGAACAAATAATTCATTGAAAATGATTTTCTCAGGTAAAAAGCCTATAGTCATACCATCGATTAAAAAAGTTCCTCTAATACAATCAATTGATATAAATCTCGACTCATATTGACAATCGTACCAACCATCATATGGATCTTTTGTTCGCTTTTTCAATTGTCCTTTCATACTACCCTTGCTTTTAGTGACTGCTCAGTAGATCACTGCGAATTCATTCAAACTTTGATAGAACATTTTTTGAAGGAATTCAGCAACTGTTGGCTGTATCATTACTACGACACGTTCACTAAATCTCATAATATTTCTTATAAAAGTATTTATATTAGGCTGATTCTTATTTAATATAATATTATCGTGAACAGTAGTTGTTGCTTTTAGTAAGGATACGACATGTTCATTCGATCACAATAAAAGACTGATGCGATCTTGGTCAGTTGAAAATGTTAAGATACAGGAAACACCAACATTTACTATTTTAAGACGAAGTTTTTCCACTTCATCCAATGCTGATGGAGATATAGTTTGAATACTTTTTGAGATGAGATCAATCCATTTCTCACCAATTTTACGACATTTTATTGCTAAATTAACAACATTATCTACTCTTGTTGCATTACAAATGGTTAACACTCTCATCGTAATCATCGTAATGACGACTAATACCAATTCATTCTGCCAATTTAAGTCACAGTCATCTAAATGACGATCCAATCTTGAAATTAATTCATCGATAAAATGATCTTCTAATAAGTGTTGATGTGATTCTGGACACCAAGAATTAGACAATGTGCTTGAACCTGATATCAATGGACCATATTGTAATATCGAATGTATAATCAATATTGCTACACTCTCTTCAGCAAAAGATAATGAATCCATTTCAAAAATTGACAAAAGATTCCACCATTGTAAACGATGGCCGGAACGAAATGAGTCGAATTCTACTAGCTGTGCGGGTTTCAAACTTGGTGAATAATTAGATAGTTGAACAATGACATGATTTTGAATGAATTGTGTTGTGTTTATAGTAAATTGTAACTGTTTATAATCTGGATGATCAAGCTGAGGTGTCAATATACGACATTCATCCTCGAATTCAAGTGGTTTGATTGGAGAGATTTGAATCTTCAGACTATTTTCGAATAAAAAGTCTTTGGCAGGCGTGGATACAATTGATGGTGGAGTGGAATAGTGAGTTTGAGTTATGGATTTAGTAGAAGATACTAGTTTGACTTTGCGATTACTGGGACCGGTATAGAATGGCTTTAACTTACTGTCATAAGGAGAAACGGTTAACCATTCGTGCATACGACTCTCTGGTTGTGGTTTAGGACGATTTATAAATTGCCAAATAGTATCTCGATAACATGTGATTTCAATAGTCATTTGCAATTCAAAAATAATGACTAATGCACTCTCGTGTTCCAATGGCATTGGACATTCGTAAATTTTTACTTGAATTTTGCTCGCTTGTTTTAGGGTTTTACATCGTTGGCATCGTTTACTAGTATGTCGATTGTTAGTATATTTGCAAGAACTACTATCAACAACATTCATTAGTTGCATATGTTTTTGCTTTGCATTGTTCACTTCTATTATTTTATTTTATTTGTCCTGTTCAGCCTGAATTCGAATACGTTGTATGTCATCATTCATTTTTGACGAGTTATCGGCAAAATGTACACCAAAAGCATTCTTAGCTTCTATATCGTTTAAAAGATCAGGATATAATTTGTTATTGAATTCAATAAAATAGTAGTAAAGACTGCGCGCTCTAATCATATACTCTCGATTAGGTAGGATCAAAAATTCGAACAGATTTAAAAGATTGGGAATATGTATAGAATGTAGCTTTAATCGTTCAAATCTTTTATCTTGACATAATTTTTTATGCATGCAACGAATAATTGTCAATGATGTTAGAATAAATCGGCTGTAATTCATCGGATCTGTTGGGCCATTTTCTGACCAATAATGATTCAACACTTCAGTCTGATATTTTTCGAAGAAATGTAATAAAATTTCGAAACGATTCCTTCCACTTACAGAGAATGATGGGCGGCTCATCCATTGTTCTAAACGTGATTCAGTCCAAATTTCCATATAAGCCAACGCTGTTACAATGGTATAATTCATTTGTTTTATTAACACATCATACGAAGGTATATAATCTTCTTGATTAATATTTTTGAAAACGTCATAATTGTTAACACCTGAGAATAATCCAGATATTTGATTTGAATGATCATTATTCAGATAAGCTTTTAATTGTACACATGAATGTTGATAAATCTTAGGATCATTAAGTTTTATATTATTCAGTAACAATTTCTTGTTCCTTTTATCATTCATCTGAATGGATTTTTCCCAATTTGTTTTTGGAAGAATTTGGTCAGTGCTCATTTGTATTTCCTGTTTCGTATGTTGGATCCATTCGTTCATATGATTTGAATCTATAGACGACAGTAAACCTTCAATTTTATTCAATCTTTGTACAATTTTTCGAATACCATGGACTAATAAATCAGTGGATATACTAAAATGTTTGGTGTAAATAATATGAGTGAGAAAGTGAGTAATTAACACTTTATAAACAATGGTACCAAGGTGTCCCAAACATTTGGTAAGAATTGTATGAAATACTACTTTGATAGTCATCCATAAACCAGAATGTCGAAAAGGTAACAACGCAGGATTCCATCTGATTTGATCATGACGTTTTTTCTTAAATTGAATGGATATATTGGGGTTGGTGTCGAGTTTTATGACGTCGAAGTGTTCGATCCACCATTGGCACACATAATGTGAGTCTGGTACGTCACGTATTTCATTAACTTCGCGAGAAGATTTGGAAGATTTGGAATATTCGATGGTATTATACATAAAATCCATCAATAATTCGCAATGAACTTTGGAGTTCAACTGCAATCGATCACACAGTCTGTAGGTTGTCACTGGAAAGTAAGACAGGTGGGGTGTAAGAGAAGAAGTTATTTCTTCACTTGGTAATAAAACTTGCCAAGCTGAAATCAATGCTTGTTTACTGTTGTTTTCATCTATTTCAATTAAAATTGCAGCATTTTGAGCGTGAAAATAAAGAGGAAGGAAGCTTCCTGGTGATAGTTGCTCAATAGTGGATTGTATATTCGATACAAAGGAGTTTTGGAAACTCTGTAAGCTGGACCAACGTTCAACGCAATCCATAAGACTTCAAAACACTGGCAATATTGTCGGTGTATCAGTCAATTTGACTGAATACAAATATTCCTTCATACATTATAATATCTTATGTTCATATTGATGGTTTTGTTGAATTAAAAAATCATCGTCAGCAGAAGAAGGTAAGTAATGCGGAAGAAACAAATGGTTTAAAATTGATTCATTCATTTTCTTCAGTTCTAAAGAATTGTTGCTAGTGAGTAACCTACTTGTTGATACTAAACAAAAAAAATTCAAAACAGTTGAAAGAAAGAAACGAAAAAAATGAAAAGAGGGTGCCGATGTGAGTGTTTATGAGTCATGCATACTCTCTAAAAAAAAACGACGTCACGCTGAACCTTTTAAGGTTTTAGCGAAGATTCTGCACTTTTTAAGGTTCTAGATTTGGGTACCATTTTCTGAACCTTTTTTCAGTTCTAGCCAGCAAGTCTAGAACTCATAAAGGTTCTAGACTTTCCGGCTAAACCTTTTTGAGTTCTAGCGAACATGTCTAGAACTGAAAAAGGGTTTAGAAAATGGTACCGAGAAAAGGTTCACTTGACACCCTTTTTTTTTAGAGAGTAGGCACATTCACGCTCACATCAACACTCACACACTGGATGCACAGAGATTCTCGTTCCTGACGCATTTGGTTATTGTCGTTTCGTCAGCAACAAGACTCTTGCAATAAAAGAAAGAACAAACGATCGAGATAAGAGAATTTCAAATCTTTCATCGACAGCATATAGTGTCGACAATTTTTCGTCGACAGACATTATGTCGGAGTGGGGTGAGGGTAAGTGTGAGCTTCGAAGAGTGGGTGTGAGTATTGTGTCAAAAATTCATCTATGAATGGTGGCGGCGGACATATTGTTGATATAGGCGAGAGCGCTTGGACTAAGCGTAAATATAATAAAGGATTATGAGAAAACTCTCTAATACTTATTATATCTTGTTTATTGTATCTTACAGTCATACAGTGAATACTCAATGGGTGTTTGGTGGGATTGATTTCGACACCCGCGAATGTTTTGCAGTTCTTGTAGAGAAGCGGGGTGCCGCGACTCTTTTGTTCATCATACATGAATTTATATGGCCGGGCACGACCATTCTCAGTGGTCAGAGGGCTGCCAACAGCAAAATCTCGGTAGGTCTACATAATTATGAGCATCAGACCGTGAATTATTCGTTACACTTCGTCGATCCTGAAACACATGGCCATACTCAAAACATTGAGAATATGTGGATGTGTATCAAAAGAAAGACGCAGCAACAAATGGGTCAGCACAACAGTCTTCTATCCAATTACTTCGCGGAATTCATGGGGCGGCAAAAGTTTGGAGATAGGTGATTGGAGAATCTCATTAGATCTATTCGCGATCTTTAACCTGTTCTTCAGTTTTCTTCTTTTTCAATAAACTTTTATTCAAGCTACATGACGACATCTTTTTTCTTCACCCACACATATATACATCTATAATACAACGTCATCTTTATTATGAATGTAAATGATAGATAGAGTCCAGCGGCGTAACCAAGGGAGGGGCAAATGGGCAATTGTCCATGCTATTTGGAGATTTGCCCATTGAAATTTTATTTTTTCAGAATTGTTTATTTATTTTTTAATTAGATAGTAACTATATTTTTTTTCGTCTGAATCCACATACACTCTTTGCCTGCTCTTTCTGCGAAGAACTAAGAAAAGAAGAAGAAAAGAATCGCTTCTGGTATTTTAACCAGGGTTGCCAGGTGAACAACTTAAAAGTCAGAAATTCTTATTTTCAAAATCAGGAAAAAAGCAGAATTTTTTCTCCGAAATCGGCAACTAATCAGAAAGAGTAACTTTCTGCAAACCAAGGGCTATCATGTCGACATACTTACACAAAATGCTTCACTTTTTTTGTTTATCGACTCATACTTTATTTCCAAAAGTATTTCATAGTAAAGAAAGACAACAGAAACATTATATAGCTTAGAGTAAAAGATCATGTACTGTAAGCTAAGGAGATTGACCATAGTCGAATCAAATGAATGCTCTCACTGTCAGATCAACTAGTTAAAAATATGAGCTGTCAAGAGCGTTCACATGTCGAAATATTCGAGCTTCAAGAAATTTACAGTTTGTTATGCTCCTACACTGCGAAATTTCATCAACACTTAGTTTTCTTTGTTCGCCATAGTTGGATGAAGCACGACCATTTACATACAAAAAAACAATATCACGCATATTAAAAAGCAAATTCGACGAAGTCTAAGGTAGCGTTTTTTAACTACAATGGTAATAAACAAAAATTTCTAATTGCTGTCAAATTGCTTTTGAATATATGGTGCATTGTTTCTCCTTATGTAAATAGTTGTGTTCCGTCCAACCGTGGTTAAAACAAAAACCAAAGATTGATGAAATTTCGTAGTATGAGCACATGACAAACTAAATATCTTGAAATTTAAATATCTCGGTCTGTGTACTCGATTGGTAGCTCATGTTTTAAACTAGTTGGTCTGTGAGTGAGAGCATTCATTTGATTTAACTATGAATAATCTCTTTAATTTGCAGTTATATGGCCTTCAATTGTTAGTTAATACAAAAAAGTTAGCAAAAGACATCTAGTGTTGGAATCTTTTATGAAGTCCAATACTCCGTTTACGAAATTATGCGCAAACAAATCATATATAAAGTATACAGATTAAAAAATTTTACGAAAAATAATAAAGGTTATAGAACATAAATTCCATATTATTTTCCAAGTTTTCCTTTGTTTAAAATTCCTTTCATAAATGTTTTTGAGCTAAAATATGTTTACAAACTCGTTCAAAAAAATACTTAGCATTCATTCTTAAATTCAACAACGCAAACATTGACTGATATATTAAAGTATTCGTCAGTAGTTGCAAAACTCAGAAACTATCAAAGATTAAGAAAGAAAAGAAGGTAACACAATACGGATCTATAGTATTAATGAGTTATAGTCGCAATTAATTTCGCTAGTAAAGTCACCATCTAAAAACGATTGGAATCGGCAACAAATTAGTAAAAAGTACCTAAATCAGAAGGTCAGAAAACAATCGGAAAAATTTTCAAATTTCAGAAACTTTTCTGACTTTTCGGAAGATCTGACAATCCTAACTTTAACTGTAAGTTTGGATGAACATGAGTTCGGTTTTATTGGGGAAAAACTAACCACGTAAGGGCAGAGAAGGACAAATCATAGAGTAGAGAAACAAGAGCACAGATCAAGAGAACACACACCAACATATGTATGTGTCGATATATACATTTAGAGTGACGCATAGAAGAGAAAGGAGAAGTCCAATGACGTGCATGTAGAGACATAAAGGTAAAAACCAAGATGTGACATGAACTACTTCATAGAGAAAATGTTCATGTGTGCTGCACAGACATATTGGAAGAATTCTGAACACTAACTTATGCATATTTTTTTACGTTATTAGTACGTTGTTGGACCAAAAACGTTTTGGCCTATCGACAAAAATCTTGCCTATTTCGCCCATCGGTCTTTTTCGACACAAGAGAAGTTTGCTCATTGGTCTAAAAATCCTCGTTACACCGCTGATAGTGTGCGCATCAATCAGTTTTTTTTCTTATCATTGTTTATCGATGTGACGTATACATTCTGAAGAAATAAGGCATTGCCTACACTAATTAGATAAGTTAATGCTGAATTAAGAAACGTGGTTGGTTGAAAGTATAATTCAGATTTAATGCACCAATCGCGAAAGAACTTGATCCACTAATTAAAACGATGAATGGACCTCGATAAAGTCATTTTATATCATCAACAGGTAGATCTTTTCAATATAATGAACTGTAAGAATTGACGAGAAAGACAGAAGCGACATTTTTTTTCGTGAACACATGCTAGAATTATTCACTTCGATGTGGGAACCGTTTATAAGAGAAATGCAGGAGTTAAGAGAAAATATGGACATCATTATGGAGGCCCGAATGGAGAAATAGGATTGGCAACAAATTTTTCAAATAGAAACCATTATAGACTTGAAGAAACTAACTCTAACTAAATAAAATCTGTCTAAAATTATTAACTAACTATTAGTTGCAAGCACTTCATGTTTTCACAGCGAAGAGAAATAAGCTTGATCTTCTTCAACATAACTAAAAGAAAAGAAATATTATTTAATTTTATGTGTGTTGATGATCAGTGTCATGAATTGTTTTTCTGCTTCTT